CTACCATTGTCAAGCCCTTAGCTCTGACAACTGAGGGCCGAGTTCCAAATGATTGTGATGCATGAATTGAAGATAGATGATGGTCAGAAGCTCCATGTAAAATTTTTTTTAAAGAAAAATTATGCGCGTTTCAAAACAATAAGTGACAATAAAGTTTCAAAAACAAACAATGCTTCATTGTACTATTTTTTCCCCCAAGATATTAAGCACAGGGAGATATGCACTATTTTTTCCATTCGGAGGAGTTTAATAAACTGTAAGCATTTTTAGCGAGGCACAAGGTATATGTTACTTATACATTAGCTTCATGAAAAAACATTATCAGGATTGTTTTTATATTAATGGCACTATGAATAACTTTCTCTTTGTTTTTTCCTGTTTTTTTCAAGTTTTATTTGTTTTTCTCTCGCTTTGCTTTTTCCCTTCTTATTTCATGGTATGCCCTTTTTCCAGATGAAAGGACGTTTATTACGGACACGCTCTACTATATAACCCATATTTGAAACTATTCAATGTTACCTCATCATGAAATCAAACCTTAAAACTTGTTTCAAATCTCCTGCCCATGGAGTGCAGTAAATTTGCTTCAGCGGATGTGCAACTGTTTTCAATAAATTTTAAACGCCAAGAACCTGGATTTAGCGCTCTATATGGTCAAACTTTAATTTTAAAGCTGCTTATCATTTACATTATCATCTGCTTATCATTCTTTATATGTTCCTTGTCTTTTATATGATCACTCCAAAGGAAACCTACCTCAGATAAATATTACCGAAGTATGTGAGAAAAACGTATTCAAATTGATCTCCAAAAACGGTATACTGTACTGTATTATTCAAAGCATCACCAAGTAAAATAAAATAAGTGATAATTTCCGGGAATTTTAAAGTTTTTCAGACTGAATGCTGCATATTAATTTTGATCCTTTAAAAAAACAAGAAAAGTTAAAAATCTATGAATAAAAAATGTTAGCAGCAGCTTTGCTTAACGTATAGTTGAAATTGAGTAAAGTTTGAAAAATCAGACCGTGCGGAAAGGTATATACAGAGACTTCACTTCTGTCAGATCGAAGATACAATATTTTGTTAATTTTTCGCAATAAAAAAAAATTTATCACACATTGGCTAATTGGAACTATAATTGTACAATTTTCAATTCCTGTCTCCAGGAATCTTATTCTTCAAATCATTTTTAATGTTCCAGAGTGTTTTGGTCTGCCCATTATAGCTGTTTCGCATAAGTTTTATTTTTCTCCTTCTCTATAGATCCAAGATTTAGAGGACATTAGAGATATTTTTACAATGAGCGAGAATTATTTTCCCACTGCGGTCGCCATGACTGTACCTTCTCTCACATTGAAGTACCAAAAAAAATCGGGTAAGTACTGTATTGCAATTTGTCATTTCGATGGCTCTCACGGTGCTTTCTGACAGATCATCGCACTTGATCCAAGAGTTATGAAACTCCGGATTTTGCCATCGTAACTCGTAAGACGGTGCCCACACGAATTTGAAGGAAACATATAGAAATCCTTGAATATCATTGCCATCAAATAAAATACAGAAAGATTTGAATACTTTTGGGAATGCTATAAGCTATTACTGCTAACAACAGTTGAGTTAAACTGAGAGATAATAATTGATGAAAGTGTAGAAGCCACTTGCATCCCGCTGAGATAATTTTGTCCTTCGTGGCCACGAAGGCAGAAAATATGCCTGCGTGACTGAATCTACGCGGCTACCGCGTGTTCATGTTTTCCCTGACCTTGCTGGTACGTGTTTCCTTTTTTCCTGTACAAAATTCCAATTGCGCAATGCCTCTGCTTTCGTAGTCAATGTTCCATTGCATTATTTCCATCATCCGAGAACTGAAAGTATTGCTGATTTCTATAATGAAACGCATGCTAAAGGGGATCTGGAATGATGATTCAGAATAAGGTCGAGTCACGATTCAATTGAACATTTCTAAACCTGTAAAAAGGAAGCCAACAGCCTAAATTCAATGGAGTTTAGCACGTAAGTGCTCAATTAGCTTTATTTTGCCATCAACGCAATAAAGAAGCCGTGATCAAGGTAATTGGGGGCAAACGCATGACTGGAACAACGACCAGCCTCAATAACCGCATGCGGAGAATATAATTTTCTAAATTGCGTTCCCAGACATTTATTGATCTGAGGTAATATTAGAAATATTTACGGATGAAAAAAATGCAATTGAAAGTGCTGTATTACAAAAACAGGGATTTTAAAAACGAAACCGAAGGACTTACGTAGAAAAAATTAGCCACAACCGAATATGTGCTGGTCAAACAGTATGATGTAGTGATCGCGTCACATCGAAATCTTCTTATGAAAATCACCAAATAATATTGAGAAACGGGAATTCCGCGTAATATGCGAGCATTTTCAAGCAAACTTTTCTACCTCTTTCGATCAAGAATTTGTTTGAAATACAATATATAGGCCAGAATTAAAAATCTTTAAATATCGAGTTTCCAGGTGTAATTATAATTAGTTAAACACTAGCTGGAGAGTGTCCTGAATACAGAAAAAACGATATGAAAATGTGTTGAAACATTGTCTTGAGCAAATTTTCAGAATTCTCATTAGCAAGATGACACACCTGAAAACACTTACCATAATAGGAAGCATCAAAATCTTCGAAGGAATTCATTCACGAACGTATAAATAATTTGTTTGCAATGTACGTTTAACAAGAAAGGTCCGCGAAATAGAAAAATTAAGAACAAGGCTGTAGAACCAAGTAACGAGATATTCATTGTATGTAAATTGCAGTAATGTACAGTATATAAATAAGTAACAAAAATAAATTTTATTTTTAATTATTGTAATTGAAAAAACCGGTGAAATTATTCAGACAACTATATTATACAGTATTTTGATTCTGCTATTGCTAGTTAAATTGAAGGTAAGGGGGAAAAATTGGTAAAAAAAAACTAATCATAACATTTTATTTGGTTGCAATCTATATTTGAGGTTTGGGTTACATGGAATGTACCGCAGACATACAGTATATAGACTAATAGAGTATAACGAAAAATGAAGAAAAATAAGCTTTAAATCATGACGGAAAAAATTATTGTAAATTGTGGATTTGACTGAGTCATATATATGGCATATAATGTACTCAATCGAAAGACAATAGTGTAAAACATTGAGTTTTATACCGCATTCAGAGTTTCAGTCATAGAAGAATCCTGTATTCGTCGGTTTTTTATCGATGCTGTATGCAGCAATGAGTATATGATGAGTACGGTATATGCAGCAGTACTGTACAGGTATATTCAAAATTGTAATGTTGATAAAAATGCCGAAGACAAATTTTACTGGCTTGCACGAATGGAAAATGCAACCCCTCCTACAACCTGATCAATTACTAATGTATGAAAAAAATTCTGTTAATTAATGCTGAAAAAATGTTAGCGATTTTATTCATCCGAACCTCTATCAATTTTGAAAAAGATTACCGCGCCAAAAAGAATGACGACGAGAAGTATGCAACGACATCTCACTTCGAATTTGGAACATAGCTTTGTTGGCAAAACTTCCTGCCCCAAAAATAGATGGTAGGTACGAGCTACGTCGTGCTCCTTGGGCGCTAGTGCTATTGTGCTATATGATGGGGAGTTTCTTCTTGCCTCGATGATTACAAACTGCATTGTTCGTATAGACACCTGCCGCCGTAGTGGCACTGATCGAGTGATCGTAGTACGATTCTATTCACGAAAAAGTTCTTGTCCTTTGTATTCCTTCTGTGACGTGATGAAGATGTGTCACTAATCGTGTGCAAATGAGGCGCGTGACTTCCTCGAATTCTTTGAAGGCCTCTGGTTTTCTGTATCTATTATTGCTGCCTTGAGTGATTCACGGAGCATCACGTATGCCCCCTTGAGATACAGCATCAGTTATCTATTGCTGTTCAGCGATGAACCTTGAGGTTTAGATCCAGTGGGGTGTGTTTCAAGTAGAACATTCCGGATCTGCTTGCAATTGTAGGGACTCGCGTTGCATCTTGAAATGATGCATCGAAGTGAATTACATTAATTTCAGGAGTAAATAATATATAAAAGAAACAGCACGAAGAAATTGCTTGGAAGACCGCAGCATTCAATATACATTATGTATTTTTGTATGTTGACGAATTTTTTCTGGAAGCTACTCACTCATCTGCTTTCAGAGGTAGTAAAGAAGAAATGATGCCTCAAACGCAATCCCGCATGATTTAGAAATAAGATATAAAATTTCTGCAATAAAATGCGGCGCTATAGTGTGCGAGAGTGTCTAAATATTAGTGAAGTAATTTACAACTTTTTGTGCGCATTCTTTTTATGGGTTTTAGATGTTAGAATAACAAAGTACTGGAGAATTTCTAAGATGAAAAATGGTCTAAGATTGTCTGACTAAAACTTCAACCAAGCAATCGAATTATTCCCGCGTGTTATGGATAAGGTTCAGTGAGGGACCCCTACTGGGACCATTAGCAGCGACACCTATTTTTAGCCATCCAAAACGCCACCGTTTGATTTTATCACCCACCCAAGCTTTGCCTGGAAGTAGATGGATATAATGAACAGAGGAGAGGCGCAGGAGACCAGAGGATGTTAGCAACACTTCGCTCTTGACGATTGACCGAATAACTTCACGTTTATCGGTGAATTCTGTGATTGTGGCTGCTGTTGTCTTGAATCATTATGGAGTTGGACTTCAATAAACGCTCCGAATTACGTGACGCTGGCCGAGGACTTCTTCATTAAATCTTATTGTTCCCTCTCTGAACCCTCCGAGATCAGTCGTACAAAGACAAAATTGTTATTGTGAAATTTTCAAGGGCGAGCATAGCCTCACGCGATGTGGTGCATGATTACTAGGTCCGGTGGGAAATTTTTTCGTGGAAAGACCACATCCGGGAAACAGGTGCATCCGCTAGCTCTGTGTTGTATATATTCGTACCTAAGTTGAAGTTTGTTAGAATATCCTCGTTCCTGCTTCACTAGGATTTATTCTTAAATGTGTGGATTGCTGTGGGGCAACCAACCTTAAAATCGTGATGCGCGAATTGATAGGCGCTTTGCCGAAAATTGCTTCCATGTCGGATCTGCGTCCCATCTGCGCGCTTTGCGTTGTTGAAGACATCGGAAAATGCCCCACGGGATTCATTCCTGTAAGTTTTCGATTCCAAGAGCTTCTGAACAGTTAGTCATCTAAAATTTGATAATTTTCTCCAGATTCGATATACAGCGGACAGTAACGGAGACGCCGATTTATGGAGAGAGAATTCGTTCTTCTCCCGTCGGAAAACTCGATATCTATGCTTCTTCCGCGTACCAGCTGAAACGGAACCGTCTTACATCGTTGAATCAATCACGGTGATCCAAGAAGGAGGAAAACCTCCGTGTGGTTATACTGCTCTGCTCAATACGAAGGACACAGGTCAGTGAATGCTCTGTAGTTTTTGTGGATAGTTGAGTAGATATCATATGGGTTAGTCGGCCTTGACTCATTTGAAATTTGTATTCTGACGTTTTGAAGAGCATGTAAGTTTCTCATGTGCCCTAATCTAAAACAAGTTTAGTCTGGAATCGTTTTTGCGTTTGTGTGGTCGAACGAAGGCATTTTATTGTAAGAGAAATATTTGCTTTCTGCTCTTAGCTCAGCGGGCGCTGAAAAGAAAGCAGATATGTTACAAACTGGTGAAATACTCTGAAGCAGTTCAGGCAGTCTTTGACGTAGCACTTATGTCTGCGAACAAGTGTCTGGATGGCTTTTCCCTGGCAGGGTGAGTTTTGATGACGTGCATTTATTTTACAGTTGACCATTTTCGATCAAATGTGAGCTACATTTTTCCAACTCGAATTTGGTTTTTTTTTTTTCTAAAAATGTGGTGCGGTATAGTAAAATGAAGTTGGAGGAAGCGATAAAGCGTCAGCGAAAATAGAAAGGAATTAGAATATACAATATAAGTAATCACGATGTTTTAACGAATTTATTATAATTGTTGAGTGAATAGAATGTTTCTAGTCATTGTGGCAAACAAATCTAAATGTTACAGTATTGTGCGTGTACGGTTTATGTACCGTATGATGAAACGAAAAATTCTCCAGTTGTTGCTACTCCTGCTATGTACAATACAGTATACTGTTTTTTTCTTCTTTAAAAATTTCTAAAACTCAAATCGGTCTCAATTAACATGGGAAGTGTATGGTAACCAACTATTCAATTCTTTTCCAGTGAAATCGACGGAATCTTCGTGTTCTACAAAATGGGATGCGCTAGATTGTCTCCTGGTGCCAAATTACCGTACAAGTGAGTTACATTCCGAGTGCATTCGATTTTCTTTCTCTCCCTCCCGTCTCTATTGTATCGCGATCGTTGCTTAGTTACGATCATTTGGGACTTTCATGACGTCGTCCGAAGCTTAAAATTTTGAGTGGGGTTTTTTTATGTGGCTTCCGTTACGCCCGTTGAAGTTTCCGTGATCCGCACGGAACAGCCTTTGTGCCCATTTTCCATATTTTTTGCGCTCGTTTGTCCCGAACGACGCGTTCGTCACAGTTGTGCGTTTCCGTGACTTCGAGGTTTCGTGTTGGTGCCCCGGCATTCAGTCGCCTTTTCAAGGGGTGTAATTTTCTGTCGTCTGGCGCTCTGGACCGAAGCCAATTGTGCGTCTCAACGCGCCCGTGCTTTGTCGATGGTGGACTTTTTTCATACGTGTTGCGTTTGTTCTGTCGACGGAATGGGTTGGAATATTGGCGCCCAGTTTTGACACGCTCAGGGCAACTTTCTACTGGAAAAATTGACGACGACGACCTAAATCTGTCGAGTTGTGTTGTATAATACTGTAATTCTCATAATGTAGTTGCCGTATCAAGTTATGAGCGACGCAGCGTGGATGTGTAATTTTTGTATTTTACATGAAAAAATATTTATTCCCCAAGTTTTTCGTTTTTAAATTTTTTTAAATTTTCATATTCATTGTCCCATGTGCATTTAAAAGATTCTCGGAATAATAACCATAATTCATAATATTTTATGTTATGTAAGGCTTCGTTGGTGCAGATATCGATCGAGCGTACTTGAGCGAAAGAGAAAATCAGCATATTGGTTGGAATACTACATTCACTGGTGCATCACGAGCACAGTTTTCTTCAAAATGTAACTTGAGAAGTTTGTCCGCGTCATGCAACTTATAAGTGCATAATACATTTATTCTTTGAACTCTGTGACGCACAGCTCAATACGGGCGTTCAATATCCTGTGTGGCAAAACTTAATGAGCCCCGAGCTTCAAAAGCTTTTTTCCATGAGTTAATAAAAGGGAATATTCTGTACGTTACTGTAAGTGCGTCTATGGTGTTTCTCGAAGTAAGGCAGCCCTCCGACAGAATCAGTTTCTTCGTGGAAAAATGCGCGAGGGCGTGTTCGTTCCAGAAAGAATATCAATCCGATTTCCAAATTTTCTATTAATTATCTAGGAAAAATGATAATTCGAATCTCGACACGAAATTTTGCATTTTTTTGTGCTTCGAACCCCTGCAGAAAGGAAATACCAATCGATGAAGTGATGGAATGAACTTAAGATTCGAGAGGCCAGTCGTTTGAAATAAGTTCTGATGATTCTGTCCCGGGGATAATTTTTGGACTGAAATTATTTCGGAAGAGGTGTCCCTATTTTTTCGTGAGTTCATTTGTATGAATATTCTCTGGGAAACGAGGCAGTAGTGAATCATTCAACAAGAACAACCGAGCATATCGAGTGCTTGAATTCGTTCGTATTTACTCGTTCGACACAATTGGAGGGTAAAATGCTCCTTCTATGCGAACCGGTTAAATGTTGCAGATGCGAAAGCATGCATTTGCGGTCAGAACGGGTAAAGAACTGTTGCGCTGTGGATTAGTAGCTTTCGTCACAGCTAGGATCGAAAACACTACACTTGTGGCGAATTGAGTGGCAGTTTTTTTTTTCTTTTTTTTCGTTCGGCTTTAGGTCATGGATCGTTCGGTAAATTTTTCCCCACTGCGCACACCGAAACCTGACCGTATACAACTCTAGCATGTTTTCAATTTTGCCATTTCTCTCCACGATTATCCATTGTGTAAAGTAGGTTAAATGCGGCGCTGAACTTTCAATCGATTCGAGGGACCTGGATTTTTGAAATTTCGCGTGATTGGGTGAATATAGTAAAATCTCATTACGACAAACTTCTGGGGACTTCAGAGAAAGTTCGTAACGCTGAATGATTGCGATTTTCAAAATTAATTTTTGGAAAACAATATTTCACATTAGACCTGCTTGAAACCAATTAGATCTTGCCTTTCTGGCATTCTCAGATTTTTGTTTGTTTGAAAATCTGAGTGATTTTTTGAAAAAAAAATGGGCTTTTATCATGCTTTCAGTCATTTGCACCAATCTCTTTATTTGCTCAATTCTGTGAGGATCATTTGAAAATCTCCTCATTGGGGAGGATGATGTGTGGAAATAATGTACAGTACTTGAAAACATTTTTTTCATTTATCACAACTTCCGTCCATGCTGTGGGAACCAGTCAGTCTCATTTGGGATTGGAAATTTCAGACTGTGCCTCCCTTCGGATATTTCTGCCTGTAGTCTCTATTAGACATTCCGCAAAAATGTTAGTTTTGCTGGAATTGGGAAGTTTGTTATAGCAAGATTGTTTTAACATGCACTGTATTGGCTTTCTGCCAGGACTTGAGAAAAAGTTTGTCCTACTGAAACATTTGTTGTGACTAGATTTCATTTTATAATGTCAACTTGGGAGAAATCCTTTCCCCGTCTTTTTTTGTTTTGGTTGCTGAAGAGACGTGGAAGTGTTCCGTTGGCTGCCCATGAAGCGTGTTCTCCTGGTTGGTTGACCCGTGAGTCATGCAGCTGCAGGTGTTCCAGTGCGGCGACGGGGTGTTATTCAGCGCCTACTTCCCTTTGTTTCACATAATTTCGTGTCTCATTTCGGATCGCGTGTTGGGGAATGCGCGCGGGAAAAAACGCAGGGCTTTCAGCCGTAGGCAAAAGCGAGGAAACGTTGGCCTCACTCGGCGACTCTCGGTCAGTCAGTTCACGTCTCTAATCCTGGTGACGCATTCGCCTGATTCCCTAATACTCTCATAGTCTCGTGTTCTTCAGTTTTTCTTCGCCCTTCTGCCCCCCCCCCCCTTCCGTCGTCGTCCTGTTCAAATTATTGCATCACACTTGGAGGAGAAGCAGTATTGACCGATAGTATTTGGAGTGTGTAAACTGATCAAATTTCTCAATGTGCTGAGTTCATTCTCAACTAGTTGCGGGTGACATCGAACCATAAATTAGTCCTTCTACGGGTGGACTCTCTGCAATAAAATACAAAAGACTAGAAAAAAATCCTTGTGGAGAACCCTTAAGATATGGCGTGATAATACAAGAAAAAATCGTTATACGTAAAAAATTGTCTTAGACAAGATTGTTTTGGAGAGAGTTCACCTGTACTCATTTGAATGACTTCAAATTGAAATTCTGTGTTACGTTGCCGTGAAGGTGGCATTGGAATTAATTTAAAAATCGAAAGACAATTGGGAATGGATGAAATTTTTTGTTGCAAGAATTGTATTTTAGATGTTGACTTATTACTTACATCAACATGAATAAAAGTCTTACGTCGAGGGGAGTGAAAGTAAGCGGTTCTAATTTTTCTAATATCAATTAGCTTTGTGTATGTGGTCTTCTGTTCAGCTATTCCTATTTTGATACTAAAATTTTTTTTTTCTATGGAGCACTAACTACATCATAACATGCACACAATTGAGAAACGCAGTGTATCTTCGTTTTCCAGTTCGTCCTGTTGCCAGTGCGAGAGTATTGCGTAACATCTCTTTATCTCTGACGTTTTACAGTGGGTTGACTAAAAGCTGCATTCATAAAATGTGATTTAACACTGAACTCACTTGACAATACACTTTATGTGCACTTGCTCAACATGGACTCAGGTTTGTCTTATTCCATTACTGATTAGAATATATTTTTATATGGTTTCCTTTCTAAGTTAGTCAAAATGACGGTGACGCAACTGATCCAAATCAACACAACGCGTTTCTACCATGACCTCTTTTGGGCCAAGTCTATAAGTACAGGTCTGTTGATTGTGAGAATAACTACTTGCCCAGACTTCGCCAATAGACGTTGTTGTTGACTGCTTGCTTTGAGCTTTTTCGAAACCGTGCATTCTGAGAAGAAATAACAGTCAATCTAAACTTCATCGAGGGTAATTTTAAACAGCTCCTCAATTTATGCGAGAATGCTTGAAACCTTTGATGGAAGTTATTTGAGTAAGCATATACGGGAAACACTATCAATTGACACTCTGATCAAAACCTGCATCTAAGAAATTGGAATACTCTCATTTATTCGTCTTTCAACATTCAAGACAACAAAACTGTGATTCCCTGTGCAGCAATATTCTCCGTGCAGAAAATATTGTGTGTCCTGGGCAGACTTGCTAATCCGAAAACATACAGTGATACTGCGTCATTTTTTAAGTCAATTTTTCTCCCTTCTTTCGTGAGATAAGGGCCGGTATTCGAGGGGGGGGGGAATATTGAAATTGTTTAAAACGAATAATTTTCCCTGTTGAGTTTTATTTCAGCTGTGAACTGATGCGATTTTCTGCTTATTGGGTTCTTCCCCCTCCATATTTTGGAAGCGTTCATTTAATTGTCAATGTCTGTATTTTGTCTTCAGACGACTTGAACATCTGTTTGATTTCTTTCTAAATTCTTCCCTTCGCGTATCTCGGCATGCGTCTCGGCGATAGGGACTATCAACTGATTCGTCTCAACTCTGCTAGCGTGTTGATTTACAATATTGTACTGTACTTCGTTTTGCCGACCGAATTTTGGACTACGACCCTCGATACTCTTTCTGACGAGATACCACGAGTCAATGCACAATAATGGAAAACAAACGCGTGTTACGAATATTGATCTTGTGCCATGACCCGAATGCAACGTTATTGCCTGTAATTGACGATCGCGATGCATTATTAAATGGTTTCGTCGTGGGGTGGGTTCCACTTGTTCCTGGCTTTGCCGGGCTATGTTGTCTCAGCTTTGGCTTCTCGGATGCCTTTGAGTCAATTTTGTGATTAGGTCGGTTCGTTGCTGTTGGTAACGGGCCAAGCGTGTGAAATGTGTCAGGTAACAAGTTATTAGTTTCGGACGCCTGGCGAAATTACACCGCCCCGTATTTTTTCTCTTTCTGTTGTACCAGGGGAGGCATTTGGACTATGTTTGTCGCCATTGGCGTCCTTTCACAATTATTCAAAGCCGTGTACAAGATAATTGTCGCGGCTTTTTTTGATCATTTCCTAAAAGTTTCCGCGTCGTATGATGCTTGTGGTTGCGGCAGAGGGAATGAAAGCCTACGATTCCGTTTTAATGACTTTGTGCCCTGTTGCAGTTTGTCCACGTCTAAACTGAATGTGTACCCGTGTTTACCTGGACAACTGGAAGCCGTGACTCCGACTAGAAAGGCCCCTGCAGTCCCGCCACGACCCACGCAGGAAGAGAGATATGAAAATCTCAGATCCAACAGCATCGCCGTTGCGAACGAAAGTTCGCATCAAGGTGAGTCATTTTAATGTTAGCGTAAACTTCTGTCGTTTATATTTTTTAGTGAATCAATATACAGTAATGTATACTGTAAGTTAGATCGCGTGTCGAAAACGTACCAGGAAACGGGTCACGCCTAGATTTTCTTTCTATCTGTGTGTTCTTCATTTCCAGTCTGCACAAGCTATTTCGCATGTACCTGGGATGTCTGCCCCCCCCCCCCCCCCCCCCCCCCCCCCCCCCCCCCCCCCCTTTGCGTGCCAGATGACTGATAATGATGATTACGTCGGATTTTATTGTGCATTCCGAATCGAAATGAAAGGTTGTGTGTGTCTGCGGCGGAGACGAACTGCGTGCGAAAAATCGCGTGACGTTTCGCATGGCTCAGTCGCCTTTGGATTCCGTAGAACTTTTTTTTTTTACCGTCTGTTATCCAGCTGTTTCCGTTAGGAACGATATTGCGAAATGTATTCCCAAGCCTTTCCCATCATCGACTCATTTCCCGTACTTTTCTGAAGAAATAATATGGGATGGATTTTTTTTTTTACTCATTCGTTCCTGTGTGACCGTTTTCCGGCGTTCCCTGGATTTTTAGACTTCTTCGGAAAAATTTTCTACGTTTCAAATTATGCGGATTCTCTGCGTCCGAGTATTCCAGAGCCGTAGTTTTATAAGCCCCCAGAAAATTCTCAGTATATACTGAGAATTTTCAAGGAGCTTGTAAGTGGGACCCCGAGATGCGGACGCAATTGGTGAATGGACTTTGTCCATCTATCGGAACGTCCGCATGTCGGATCACGTTTTACCTTGGAACTAAATGGGAATACATTACTGTACAGTATATTCAAATGGTTCTCCAAACATTTGGAAGAAGTCGCCCAAAAATTTAATTGAGTAAATTTATATCAAGGTCCAAATACAGAAAATCATAATGAAAGAGAAACACACGCATAATCTGATATTTCGGCATGAGAAAGAGCCCAAGAAGGTAAGGACAAGCAAAAGTTATCTTATTAGTGTATTGGATATTTTTGGGTTTTTCTCAGTAGCTCGATGGAACCTGATAGGTGTCGCCTGAAAATCAACCTTTACAAAAATGAAATTACACAATGAAGAGGCGACATCTGATTCAAGTTGGCGAAAATCGCGCTGTTGGGGACATGGAGCGTTGCATTGAAAAATCAAAATATCGTATACCGTACTAGAACTTCCCTATAGATCATCCGGCTTATAAAGAGCTTCCAAACTTTCCTCAATGATCTAATAATCAAATGTTGAAAACTTTAAATCAATGGATAGCAAATTTTTGTGAGTATTAGATGTGATGCTTCCGATAACTGTACTGAAATTCATGCAAGTCGCAAATTACATAATTCTGGATCATCGATTCAGAAAATGGAATTCCTTGGGCTCACCTTAATATTGAAAGCTTTGACAATCTGTGTGAACGGAAATGTGGGCGTGATTAATGAATCCCAAATTACGAGAAGTTCTATTTCACGCTTATTTGAGATAAGTTTGAAGATCATCATTCTGTTTTTCTCAAAACGTTGAAATCGTTTTTCTTCATCGTACCGCCGCCGGCAATGAGTAGTATTCGAAATTACCTGTCATTTTTAATAACGTTGCGATGAATTATTCACAAATTACTGTAGTTTCCGCAAAGGTCTGATTTTTTCTTCAAGTTCTATTTTGGAATTCCATTACGCTGTAATGATGCATCGACGTGTGGAAGTGGATATCGAATCAGTAGCCATGGAAACGGAGCAGTGATTGTGTCGTGACAGCGGATTCGAAATGAATATTAAAAAGCGATTCGCGTATAACATTAATGTCTTTTGGCTGTGTACGTGTACACTGCGGGAGTCGGTGGGGAGAAAGAGAAGGCGGGGAAAAGCACATCGTGAAAAATTCAACAGCGGCGGCGAGGAGGAGGAAGGATGCCCGTAGGCAGTTTATTTCTGGTTTCCGCTGAGGTGGTTTTTTTTTTTTTTTTTTTTTTTTCTGTGTCCCAAATCGCGTGCGCTGCGGTTTCGTCCCGTCCCCGCCGCGGCGTGTGAAATTATGAATCAAGGCGCGATTTTATTCCGCGGAGGCGAAATTGCCTCTTGTGATGCCTGCCTTCGGGCCTGCTTGCATCCTTACTGGGTGTGCCAAAAGTAGCCTTATCGTTTGCATTACGCAGGAAGGGTATTCTGCTCGAAATTTCGGGGTATGCGTTGCGACCAACGAATCGACCTCATTCGCTGTCTCGGGTTCCGCAAATGCAACGCCCGAAATCCGGGCAATGTTTGAGCCGAATGTGTTTCAAGTGGAGCTCAAGTCCGATTCGGTTATTGATGTGATGTACAAATTTTGAGGTAGAAGCATCATCATGTAGAGGATCCTCGGTTGATTGACTCGGTCCGCTCCGACCAAAAAGTCTACTGACGGAGTAATCCACACCTACAGGATAACGAAATTTCTAGCAACTCCACACTCCCAATAAATCTTTCGACTAAGTTATTTTAAGCTATGCGTAACGGCTAATCCATTTCTGATCCTATGGAAATTAATTTTTTTAATTTGTAAGTAGCACCACTTTAACCTGACGTCATTAAGAAAGTTGTAGCAAATCTACTTGGAAACGAATAACTCGAACATAGATTTTGCATAAAAAGATGTCATCAAATCGAAAAATTTGCCCTATTTCTCTCAGCAAGTTCGATTTTTCAAGCAAAATTACTTTTCGTGTAGGCTATCGTGTGAAGAAGGGCCCTTCATCCAAAGCAAAGATCAATGATGTGTAGAGTACATCGTGCGAAAAGTTCATTATGCGAGGGTTGCATTGCGTGGGGTACCTCTGTTACGAAACATACAATTGCCCAGATGCTTCTCGATCAGAATAACTCCCTTCTATCCGGGAATCACCTTTGTCCCGGTATTTGTAGTGGATTCACTTTTGAGAAGCTAACACAGCAAATGAGTATTTCAACGATAACTTGACGTGTTGAAAATAATTTCTCCCTAATCTTTGTGTAACAACGTGGATAAAGTCTTGATCAGGATAAGATCAAGTTGTTCAAATAATACCGGGGCTTTGATTCCTTTGTTGCGCTTTGTTGAATAAAAACGTGTGCACGGTTGATAGAAGATCGTATAATCGAGGTTTTAATGTAGATGGAAATTTGAAGTTTAGCGGAAAGATAAATCATAAATTGATCTGTGATTTCATAAAAAGTTTCTGTCGCGAAACTGTAGCTTGGAAAATTTTTGAAGTCAGATGCTATTTCAAAATCAGTTCCAGTTTTTTATTGATTTCGAAGTGAACTTTTCTTTGTTTATGCGCGGCTCATATTCTGTCAAAATGCATTCGCTTTTTCAATATTCTTGAAATTTTGATGATTCGCGAGTTTAGGAAGTTCTTTTTGTTGCTCTGAGAATTTGCAACAAACCATTCGTATCGCGTTGTTCAAAGAAATGCCAATTGTTACGGTCGGGGAAAAATAAGTATCCAAATTTTTGGATTCGAATTCGCATCCCGAAAAAAGTTGTAATTGGAAATCATGATTCACCTCGATTCTGGAAAGTTCTCTCTTATTTTTGCGATTTTTCTTATGTTGAGCGTGAGAGCAATTCCAGTTTTACGTTGGGTGAGATGACGTCATCGCCAAATGAACAATGAATAAGTCGTAAATTGTTTTCAATCCCTTGTGAAATGTGCTTTTGCGGTGCCAAGGGGTGAAGAGATCGGTTTTTTTGTTTCGAAGAAAAAAGCATTGCGAATCCATTGAGTCACGCCAAGGTGCACAAAGTTGTTTGAACAAATGCATTTGCTGGTGCTGTAATTTAATGTCAGTACTATAGATAAGTGTGATGACACGAACCTTTGTGTGCGTGTGTCGAGAATATCGAGAAAATATCCTTTTTGAATTTATGGAAAAAATATCCGGTTACGTGAGTCACGGACTGCTCATGACGCATTAGCAAGCTTTGTATTTTTCCTTTCGTTCAAATTTTAGGACTTCAAATTACGGAAATTTCTTTTTGATGCCTTGATTTATCCTAGAGATTTTTCGCTTATGGCAAAGAAAACATAAATAATTTTTCTGATGATCGGTTGTGATGCAGTTTTAAGTTTCCTAATTTTAAATGAATATTCACATTCTCGGGTGTTGAAGGCTTTTTTTTTTCCTGCTTGCGTTGGGAAAGTTGAAACCTACGGGGTTATTTTTTCCGTTGCTCAAGCCGCCGCGTGAGGCGCAGGTTCATTTCTTAATTTTTCACGAACAAATGCGTGGCTAACGTCTCGTACTGGGCAAAGAAAATTCACTGGAGGAATTAGTAAATTGATGATGACCGGCTCTGGGACGCGACTGTCTAATTCATCACATGTTCGCTGCTACTGGGTTAATTATCCAGGTGCATTGCCGGCAGTAGATTGAAACCCTTGGGTAGTGTTTGCGATGATGACGTTGCGTGGCGACGGGAACACGGTTTCCGGCCATCGCGTGTATATTCGATTGTGCGTGTCAAGGCCCGTGCGTTCATATTTTATATTTTTCGTCCGATTCCATATAATTTTTTGCCCGGTGATGGGGCGAGGTTCCCGTGCGTGCACGTTCGGCGTGTTTTTTTTTTTTGTATTTTATTTCCATTTCCTCGCTCTCTAAATATAAAACGAGGGTGAGAGCGAATTTATGTTAGTGGAGTGGGGAGATCGGGGCCATTTCGCCGCCTGCAATGAAAAATGCACCGCGATGGGGGGCTTTATTGGCGTGCTGAAGTTATGGATCCCAGGGCGTTTCGCGTGCCGAGCGAGACGGGGTATCGATGCATTATTGAGGCCCCGAACGTGGCCTGGCGGGGAATTTTTGGCGACGCTTGCGTAATTCACGAAGCTGATTTCCTGCGTCGTTTTCTCTGAATTACAGGGCTTGAAGGAGTGGAGTTCGAGCTGAATCGTCGTTTGAACTTTCTGAATGGATCTCGATCTGTGAGTACCGTACTTGTGGCTGGTGCGGGGCCTCGATTTCATTTTCGCTGCAGCGTTCCATTATTACACCCCCTTCTACATAATTTTCATTTTCAACGAATTATGCCTAATTTTATAATGTTACGGTTAGGGGTTTTCCCGAAAGAGAAAGTTCTCCAACGATCACTATTTCAGAAATCTGAATGAAATATTTTCCATCTTTATTGGTTCTTGAATCCACGCTTTCTCATTTAAATTATCACCTTTCGGAACATAATATCTCCGGCTTCAGACTTTTGGGTTTTCTCTGCAAATTATCTAATATGCTTTGTTGAATCTGAAAATTATATTTAGATGGCCCAGTTTTTCAAATAACCTCCGGAGCTCTCATTTACAGCTTTTGTCAGGGGTAGCGTTAGCCTGAGAATTTACTTTTAAAATCTTTCTTTTAACGAACCACGGATGTATGGTTTTCTGCTTTTTTTTTTTTTAGTCAACGTTGGGATGATTTATTTTCCTGTAATTTTTTTTTGTCCTGGTTTCTAAACAAGTGTGGAATTTCTGCAAAACGGATTTAGAACTTCAAGTATTTTGAACGCTTTTTTTTGTTGTCGATTCTCAGACCTACTTGCCGGAGATCAGTCTTTTCACGGAAGCTACGTGGATGAAGGATGAAGTGAGTTCTTTTTAACCATTCGTATTTCAAATGATGAATAACGTTCATGATTTTTGGATTTTCAATGTTGAGCAGTTCAGATACGATTTCCGAACCGAAAAGGACGTGAATTCCGCTGGATTCTACACGATTCGTCGATAATAAGTTTGTCCTAGAGAGACCCCGACTCCGATGGTTTTTTGTTCATGTTTTTTTCTCCTGGGAAAAGTTCGGGAGCGGATTTCTAAATTCGGTGTATTAGAGAATCCTTCCATGTCTTTCATTGAGTTGTCCGTGAAGACTTAGTGTTTACGTTTTTGTTCGGCTTTCAGAATGTTCGAATTTTTGAACGCTGCCATAGTTGCGCATATCGTGAGATTCTTTTCTTTTTTTATCTGAGGCGACGGTGCGAAAAAAATGTATCGCGTTGGCATTCATCGGGCGATTTTTTTCCTATAATGGCTAAAAAGGAATATGAAAATGAAGGCTGATCATGACTAATTCAATTGCTTGAACTTTTCGGTATTAAAAAACGAAAGTCAGGACGATGGAAGGCGCTATGAATGTGGATACGATGACTGTGAAAGAATTTCCCGACTTCATGTGTGTTCCGTTCCGATTTTTCATTTATCGTACGCCAAATTCATGGTAGTTTGCTATTGTGATCGTCTGATACACACGTATTCTTTTATCGTAAGTTATTGAAAAAAAAAAATTCCGTGATTTTTCCCAGGAAATTTACTCGAAATTCTGGGCGTGATGTGATTTATTCTGTGATGAAGCTGAGGGTGAGGTTTGGGTCAGGACGTCGAGTCGCCGTCGTTGACGTTCCGGGAAGTGAGCCGACAGTCAGGGATGCCATCGTTGCGACAAATACGGCCTTGCACAAGCTCGGATACGAAGGCTCCAATATCCATCTTTCTCTCGATGGCAGGACGTTGCTATCTGAGGACGAAACATTGCGAAGTGTGGGGATCGTCGCCGGTGACCTAGTTCGTGTCCTGACGCCCGTGCCCATTAAGGTGTGCGTGTCCTTTCGTGTTGTTTTAGTTTATTTTAGAATTAGTGTGTTAATTACCACTAGAACCGAAGTTTTCTATTGATCCAACTTCAGAGATTCAGTTCCCGATGTTTGGGAACAGAAAGTCAAGATGGTAGATTTTGGGAGATGAGACTGTGGTCATGATCCGTATTATCGGGGAACGTCTGTAAGGAGACTAACGTTTGAAATTTCGGATTATACTTAACTATATGAGAAGTTCATGGTGGCTCAAAAACTCTTGGATCTAATTTCAAGCAGCCATATTGTAAGAGCCTTCGCGGCTGAATGTGAGGTCAAATAAAAGTTCTACCCATGTATGTAATAATTTCACAGCTAAGAGAAAATACAGTGCATTACCTTCATGTACAGTTTTTGTGCAATAAATACAATAAAATTTATTGCTCATATACAGGTAATCGACTCCACGCTGATGTGATACCAGTACTGTTCAATCTTAACATTTCCGAAAGCTTTATGCTGAATATCTGGGGGAAGCATTGTTTAAAATCTTCAATTGATAAATTTTAACATGCCATTTCATTATTTTCGAATGAATTAAAACCCGGACTTGTCAGCCTACCGGCTCAGAGCTGTTCATCAATTTACTAATTAGGTTGCTACTGTTGTTCGAATGAAATGTTTTTTTTCTCGGAAAAATCAACCAATAGTTGTGAAGCCGATGATGCTGAAAAACGGTAACGTAGCGGCATTAAATGGTAAATGTATGCCCTTCCTTTACATTTATAACCTTTTCATTTTCTTTGTGGGTGACAGTTCTTTCTGTTTCTGCAGAACTTGTTTGCGAGAGGAGCTTCGTCGACCAGGTTCCATTTCGAATGGAGAAATTCCGCAGAGCCTCAGAAATTTCATCACATCTACAACTTTTGGCAATGTGGCTGAGCCGCTGATCGCACTTTTGAATTTCTGGATGCTGGAACTGGGATTCCGCCCAAGAGACTCGCCGGATTTAGAGAACCCCAAGTGCTTCGACCGGTTCCCGCTGAGAGAACCTCTTGACCCGTTGCCGCCGCCCGAAGGAGTCTCTCGTTGGAAGCGATCGTCGGGCTTGTACGTGCTCAAGTATCGTCACGTTTTGCGGCCTGAGAGCAAGACCGAACTCTTGGTCTCGCTCATGCTGCCGAAACTGGTCGTGCAAGGTTTGAAATTTTCCCCGAAATGTCACTATTTTTTTCAGCTTTATTTACGTGTAATATTTGAATATATTTGTAATCCTGGAATTAAAATAATTAGTTAGAATCATAGAGTCGTACGAACTGTCATTCGAGTTATTTATGCATTTCTCATTGAAATATTTGAAGCGAAGCTTTTCTTCTTACAAGAGCTCTTTTTTTTTTACTTCGTCAAGTTTCAATTCCGAACGGTAGCAGGCGGAAAGTTCCGAAAATGTCTTTTTCTCAATTCAAATTCATCAACTGGGCTTATATTCCCGTGTTGTATGGATTTAAATTATATTTTTTGTCGGAAGGTCAAACAGGAACATTTTGAGAACAAGTCAATTCAAAAAACTGATCAGGCTGAAAATGTAATTGTATTTTTTTTGCCTCCAGTTCTTGCAGCTTTCATTGGCCCCATTCACAATTTTCGGATATTGAATTCGAAAAGTTTCCCACATGATGAACGCTAATTTTGGAAGAAAGCTTCAATTTCTGTGCTTCCATTTCCTATCGGGGAAAGAGCCCGGCCCAATCTCTCATGTGTTAACCATAACATTTGAAGTCAGTTAATCTCACTGTTCGATGTTGAATTTTCTTGGGAGCTAATCATAAAAAATCTGTCGAAGAAATTGTGCATGGGTTTTTTCACGATCGGAAAACACGGTCCGAGCTTCAAATTCAGCCAATGCTTTAATTAAAGTCTCTTTCCTGTGCAGAATTAATTTAACCTTAGACCGTTAGCCACGTTAATTCCTACCGTTTAGCTTCCCTTTGTTATCGTTCGAGACGTGACAGTAATTAATCATCCTATTTCTTTGTTCGTCAGGGTTTACAGAAGCACTGAAAGATTGCGGACCGTTCGATGCTGTGATCGACACGAAGCTTTATTCGGCGAACGATTGGAAGCATGTCAAGTGTTTGGAGCAGACCTTCAAGGACCGTTTGGGTACTCCGCTGCTGGCTGCGAACCAGAGTGCAGCCGGCGTCATCCCTACTGGTCTTCTGGGTCTTCCGAATGAGATCGTAGAGCACGTGATGCATTTTTGTGACTCTGCGTCGCGCGGCCGCCTGGCGTCCGTCTGCGAGCGCTTCTGGCACGTAGACTCGAAGCTGCGTCAGGGAAAACCCGGGTCGCAACCGCACAACGACAAGTCTCGAGTCGTCGCGAGCCTCTTTCTATAGCTTTCGGCCGTTTCCACCTTCCTTCAGAAAGTCTATCTTTTTTTTCTTGGGCAATTTTTTTCTGTGATATAAATCTCGTCGCCAGCACTGCACGTGTCGTGTGTTTCTGTGCACGCTTTTTTCTGGAGGAGTTCGCATGAAGCGGCTGAGACTGACTGATGTAATGGAATTCGGTTATTGAAGTTAATCTACCCGTATTTACTCGAGTACCACGCGTCCTCAAGTCAGACGCGCCAGTCCGATTTTGCAGTAAAATTGAGTAAGACGTGCATCCCATTTTTAGTAACTCTAAAACTGAATTATTTTAAGAATAAGAAACCCCGAATTTGAATTCTGACATGAGTTTATCTAGTGAAATCAACTAATTTTTAATTACAGTATTTTCATTGCAATACGTTTTTCTGTTGAAATCGGTCCAAAATTTCCCATTGAAATAAAATATATCGCATCTAATTAAAAAAAAAATTTTATTCTCGCCTTTGACGTGCACCTCCTTTTTCCCTCTCAGTTTTGAGAAGAAAGAGGTGTACGTGGTACTCGAATAAATACAGTAGTTCAACGTCTTTCTGGTGGTTGGTGTCACACTTTCGTACACGAATGCAGCGTTCATCCCCGGTGGAATTTGAAGCACACTCGGCCCGATAGCCCGATAGGAATCAGTCCCAATACTGTACTGTATTTTTATCGTGCACCGTCAAGTGAAGCGTGAAAGATAACCTGATGACCGCTTCATGAGAACTCATCTGTTTGTTATGCCTGCGAACCTAGAGTCGTTGAAGCATGGGCGCGATAAAGAACTATGTGCTTATCGGCGCGATTCTGTTCGGCATCGTGGCGATAATCCACGAATGGAATCCGGCGGCGTTGTCGTTATTGTACCAAATTCCCGGCGTGAAGGACTGGGCGCTCTTCTAGGTAAAGATGTACTCGAAGTCCATTCCCCCAAGTATCTTTCAAACCTAACAGGGCTAACAAGTACGTGTGCCCACACTGGCAGTGCTACCCAAAGCCGCTTACCTTTATAAAGAAACGCGGAGGTCCTTGACTCAGTCGCATTTTTCTGGTAGCCCTTGAAGCAGCTGATTATTTTTGAACCGTTCAAGGGTAACAGGTAGACCAAGATGTAAAAGCCGAAGTTCTGGTTACAGAGAACATATTTTAGCGAAGTTTGGTAATCATTTATTCGCGAAGAGGAGTTCAGATCGACCGCACTCTCTTGTCCAACTGTGCGTACGATGTTTCCCCGCAAATAAAACTTAATCACAGATTGCGCCTTAGCCCTTTTACAGCACCCCAAATATGAGCTCTCCTTCCCAAAAAAGAAAAAGCTTGACATTCCCCCAAAAATGTATGTTAAAAATTATTCCAAAATTATTCCTCCCTTTTTTCTAGTAAAACAAGAATAGCTGGTCAACTGAATTACTGTACTTGCTCTGAAACCTCTTATCCATTTTTTGATCATGTTGTTGGAAGATCCATCATTGAGTATCCCGAAAAGTCAACGCATATTCACTTTCACGACATATATTTTATCCATCTGAATGAAAGACACACCATAATAATTCTTCTGTCCTGGAAGAAATTTCGACGTGATATCCATCTTATTTTCGGGGAAACGCGGTCCTTGAAATCCGAGTATAAAAAATATCCTCAACGATAAAAAAACCGTTGCATTAACTTGAGAACTGAGTAGAAAGAACTGGATTTATTTAACACGAAATGCGACGGAGAGTTGAGAAATAACGAGAAGGGGGTTTCTGAAGTTACTGGGGTCTGAGCCCGAAGAAGACGCTGGAAACGGACTGGGCCAAGTTAATGGCGGATCAGGGCCTGGCAGTGGAAGACGACTTGCAACCTGAGCGCATTTTCAAGTCAGAACAGCTCTCGAACCCGACTGATGGCAAGATTTTCCTGGCGATTCTCGGTCGGGTCTATGACGTGACCGACGGCAAGGACCACTATGGGCCCGGCGGTGGTTATGCCTTTTTTGCGGGTGAGGTTGCTTCCTAGTTATTCCGGTGACGGGTTTTGCTGCCACATTTTTTCTTTTTTTTCATCTCCTGGAAAGACCACCAAATGACGGTTGATTGAAAAAGTTATTCGAACCCCGTTAAGAAGCTCCCAATAAGCCACCACCCTCTGAAACTACCAGCATATTTAAAAAAAAACAGAAGTTCCCTAATGATGATAGCAATGGAAAATCAGAAAAGATAAAATAAAAAAAAATTTTATGGAAAAGTAGCTAGATATATAACTTACGCGTCCCAGGGTTATTTTTATTCCTGAAAGAAACAAAATTTCATTTCCTGTTACAGTATACTTTGTTTTTGAATTTTTAAGATTTTCTGATGAAACACCAACCTCCTCTGAACCGCCATCCCCGTTAAATCTCAAAAACGAATGGTTATTAAGGTTTGACTGTACCGAATTGACGCGAATACAAGCACCCCGCTCGATTTTCCGTGCCTGAAGTTAGAATTCATTTACCAGGCCAATGAATGCAACGCTTTTACCTTTGAGGAACGTAGAATTTCCGAATAAATTTATTTTTTGACCAGAAATGAAAAAAAAAATCGTGTCACAAAGCCCTTGTTCTTCCCCTTCAATCCATGACTCATGTACTCTATCTTGAAAAGCTAGAATCTGACCATTTCTTCATTTTTAATTCAGTTTCGAAAGCATTAAATATAAAAAAGTGCTTCATTGAGCAGCTCAACCTTTTGTGGGCTGCGAACAGGATGATTTCCTAATGTAAACGCGAATTGCTGAAAGTTGGAAAAGGGGTATATTTGCGTAAATACGGTATTTCTCCCTTCGCGGATAAATCTCCTAGCAAGGAAAGCTCAAGTCTAATTTGGACGCCTAAAAGGCTATCCTAGTCAACAGGTCCAAATTTGAAAGGGTCATGTACTGTATTTCCGACGCGACGAATCACTCCCTTCAAGTAAAAGATGGCGGTGCATTGACAACAAAAATGAGTGCATTCAGAATTTCCATGGAATTTGAATCCGAAAATTTCCCTTCGTTCGTTGATCTCATGAAAAGGTAAGACCTCCCCTGATTTTGACTTCGAGATACACTTCACTCACAATATCACTGAGGTTCGGCGTTTGATCCTTCTTCACGGTGCTTGAGAAGTGTCCAAACGTTGCTCTGACAAAAAGGCGCCGCGTTCTGGAACGTCAGTCGCTGGATCTGTTTAAGGTTTTTTCAATGTCTTTAGTTTTCCTGATTTTTTTTTTTTTTTAGGGGGTTCGGATCGAGTCTTAGTGGTGGGAATTCCAGTTGCAATCAATTTATTGTGGAAAATAAATATTCGCGCGGCGCCATCAGGCGACATCTGCCAAACCGTTGCGGTAGTTGCTTGTCATAAATCAATCCACATTCGAAAACAGTATAATGAACGGTTCCACAAAGGCCCTGGGTTTCAATAAAAATGTTATTACCCCTACCGTTTCATTTAATCGATTCCGTCAATTTTTCGAAATATTTTCTTAGTCGAACCTCTACTCTAATTATAATTTCAAGGGACCAGCAAAATAATCCAGTTAGGGATGTTTCGAGTTGGGGAAACAAGCAAAGGTGTTGGGGAGAAAAGGAAGAATTACGAGATATTGTATAAATGCTTCTTGAATAAGTTGATAGGATGCTGAACTTGTAGGCAAGTGTTCATTTGCTTTATGAGTTATTCACTTTTTTCAAAACACGCCGTTAATTTTGTATTGCTTTTTCTCTTTCCTGCGTTGAGACAATAATACCCAAAAGATCTCCACAAAATTCGACTTACGGAGGTTTAAGAAGGAAAGCCTTCGACTACGAGAGGCTTTTAATGCATTATTTCTGAGGGAAACCAGGCAGGGACTTGACAAAATTCGGCATGGGGAGGTTCGAGTTATCAACGTCAAACTGCATTCAGAGTTGAATAGGATTCGGGTTCGAGGAAAAAAAAATAGAATGAAGCTTGGATAATAATCTAACCCTACGCACATACATGGCACGAGTTTCCACGTGTGCGTTTTCAGTTTATTTGTAGTAGATGATCGTTTCGTTAGTCAGCAGAATGTTTGGAGTGTATCGGGACTCACTTTTCCGAATTGTTTATAAACGCGTCGGTGCATGGAGTCGACCGATTCCAAGTACCAAGTACCGGGGCGAAGACTGGAAGGGTTGTCAAGGGGACGAAACGGGGCAGCGAAGCTGCTTTTTTCCCGTCGTTCGATCATCTCGACGAACTTGTCTGGAGTTAGTTTTTTCCGACCTTCCAACCGCGCGTTGATGTCTGCTATGCCTTCGAGTAGCCTGTTGAGTGTATCCGGGTCCTCGCTGATGTCGATCGCGAACATCGAAGCTGTCATCCCGTTTCCGTAGCCGAAGATTCCTATCTTCAGAAAGAGGAAGTTTTGGGGGAAATGTTTCGTCATTCAACATTGAACGTAAGAGCCATGGATTGTTTCTGTGGATTTGACAAAATCGGGGATAACTTGCGTGTACTCCGACAAAAACGAGGTGATTTTTAGAATGCGGAGAAAGTATGTGTTCGTAATAAAAAAAATCATGTTGTTTTTTAGAACAGGGAAATGTGCAGAGATCATGAAACCCTGGAGACTTTAAATGAATGTGAGTTACAAAATACAGTAAAGATTGATCACAGAAGAAACCCGTTCAATATCTTGATTTGGTTTGAACACTTCCGTCGAAGAATCCGATCCGATCAGTCAAATGCATTTTTCTCGGCTGCAAATCTCATGAATACGAAGACGTCAACTTTATACCAAAAATCGTTAAACTTCTAGTTGTTCGAAACTGAGTTGAAGTCTAAATAATTCAACGAATCCCGATTTCTTGCTGAAATTATGAGTCGATGCAAACTGATGCGTGTTTATTAATGTTGTCAATGATTTAAATTAATTAATTGAGAACGCGTTTTCTCTAACCACATGTAAAGTCATTTGAATTTCTAGACAGAGTTTAAGAACTTGATATCCATGTAAATTGTAGAAGTTTCATAATGGATCAACTTGAAAGAACCGCTGAAGACTTGGGTACAATACAAATACAGTGAGCCCCCAGATTTGGACGTGGATCAAGAGTGTCCCTAAGTTTAAATTATATTAAGTCAAGTCTTGTTTTACCATAGACTTACAATTTATAATTTTTATTGGTGTTTTAAGGAAGAAATATTCTTCAGAATTCCATAAAAAATTGTTTGCCACTTGAATTGATTTCAATAAATATCTTTTCAACTCAATAAGTACATTTGGAGCATTGAATAGTATGCCTCTGTACATTACTTTGAAATGTTGGCATCTGTAAAAATAAGATTCAAGTCATCAAGAGAGAAGGAAATCCCTCCATGTGATAGGTTTTTTTTTATTAGCTGAATGGATGGAAAAATTATGGGAGAAATATCGAAGAATTTTCTTGCATAGATCTTAGGGTTGGAAATATCTGTATCTTGCATTTAAGCCTAATAAAAGTCAATTATCCTGATATTTATTGGCAATTTTATCATGCAATGCCCACATGTCGAGTCAGTGTCCATATGTCAGGCCTTTTTTATTGAAAAATGAATGTTCATATGTCAAACTGTCCGCATGTTGGGGTCTCACTGATTTTCCTTGACATTACGCAGAATCAATTTTAACCCCTTTGATTCTAGATTTCTAGCGACCCTCAATTTCCACGTAACATTCACATGAAACCAGGACTATTAAGAAAGCAATACTAGATTAAAATTAATACCCTGTGAGATATGAGGTCTTCAGGCTGCGTTGTGATGAGCACTGATATAAGTCCTGCGAAAACGGACGCTGTGTGCACATTTCCGATGCGCTTTAGCAACGCCACACTGGTCAGAGATTTCTTCTCGAACAATCTGCGCGTGGACACGGTCAATTCTGCCACGAACTTTTTGGCGTAAAGGTCTTTGCCATCTTTGGGACGTTCGGCGCGGATGCCCGGGTAATAGGCGGCCTTTTCGGACGCCGTTGCCCGTGTGTAGTCCGCGTAGTACATCACGGCGAACGCTGTCTCCACCATGCGCACGTTCGGACATTGGAACACGATTGAATCGAAGTCGTACAAACTGCGAAAGGTCGGAAGCATCCGAATTAAGGCTTTGAGTTGTATGCACTTCTGAAGGATTTCTCCGGGGAACTTCAGAGGTGCATGAAAATCCAGCTTGTGCTCAAGGAGATTCAAACCTTTCCGAGTCGAAGTTCGAGAGACGAGCAAAAATGTTCGAGTGAGGGAGGTTTTAACGTAGGGAAGCAAGCATTCGTGTCGGGAAAGAAAGAATTACGGGAAATTTTAATTGGAGACGAGTTATTTAATTTGAGGCCTTAAATTGCTTCATAAATGAGTTGAAAGGATGCTGAACTTGAGAAGCAAGGGTTTTAATTGCCCTTCTTGACAAGACGTTTTTTCACTTCTGATAAAAACGCATCAAGTAATACAGTATTCCATTGATTTTATCTTTGCCGTGTCAAAAAAAAGACAGTAGGCCTCCAGAAAATTCGATTTATGATGGTTTGCGAGGAAAAGAATTCCAATTGGGGAGGTTTTTAATGCATTTTGTCTAGGGCACTTTGAAAAATTCGACTATGTACAGTTTTAGCATATAATTTCGAATTCGAATTTTTTAAAGTCCTTGTCCGAACTAATCCAATGAAGGGGTTTTTGTATTTTTCAGAAATTTTAATTTTGTGGAGGACTCGATGTTCTATTTCGATGCATAAAATTCAAAATTAGGAATGTATATATTTAAAAAAAAAAACGAAAAATAAATTAATTCATGAGGTTGAAACGTGTTGATTTTTCCTTTTTCGAATTGATTGACTGACGAATTTTTGTCGACATTTAAATGGATTTTACTTTTTTAAATGTCACTGGAATTATTATAAATTGCCATAATTGCAACAGGCTGACAAAACTTGGCCTAAATTTGAAGAGCAATATTCAGAGTGACAATTTTATGGTTTTTTTTCAGCTGCTGTGCTGAATTCATCAAGATTCATTTTTTTTGTCTTATTTCATTCAAAAATTAATCGTTTCGCAATCCTGTAGTCTCGTGACCCTCTCGGGAATCTCAGCACTTCTTTAGATCATATTTTCGAGCCGATTGAGAGTATATTTTCACACGTGTGACCTTCGCATCAACACATTGCTAGGAAATTGGCAATCATACCTGTGTCGCCCGGTTTGACGAGAGAAGATGCCACGGTGCTCGCACTTTTTGCAGAACCGCAGGTAGCAGTCCTCCATACTTTTGTAGTAGGACTCATCCGCCAGCTCTTGAAACGTGAGCGGGTACTGGGACTCGGGCACGGGCCGATAACTGTCATAAGTGTGTTTCGAATGCGTCGTCCTCAGCCCGGGCTCGACAATGAGAGGCGCGTGCGGGCCAAATAGCAACGCGATCGCCGCGGCGCCTGACGTGGGACGGAGGGCGCCGCGGTCATAGATGGCCACGTCAGTGGCGACGGCGAGTGCGAATCGTCCGTCCCACGCGGTGGACTCGAGCCAGTTGAGCACGTGGAACACGGCCGCCACGCCGCCGTAGCAGGCGCTGATGCAGTCGCCGCCTTCGATGTCGGGGTTGCGGGACCCGCGAGCCTCCCACAATTGCATGAGGTAGCTTTTGATGGGCTTGGACTTGTCGATGAGAGTCTCTGTGCCGACCTGTCTTTGCCCGAATGTTATAACTGAGTTGACTGCTCGAGAAAACCTTTTTCGTTGTTGTTCAGAATTGTCTTGCCTAACTTTTCAAGTTGCAGTCAAACTGACGTTCGATAGCTTTTTCCGTGTAACGGATTTTGATTCATTGACGAGATACGATAAGGTTTCATTTTGTAATTTCTTTAAAATTTGATCATGCGGGCTTGATCACGCATTACTGTACTGTCACAGATAATTATAATTATATCGGTGATCATGTATCAATACGGTGATATTTTACAATTTCATCATCTAATCCTAATGGAAATGCGTTTACTGAATAGTTAATTCTCCAATGCTTTATGTTATGTCAACCGCACAGAAGAATTTTTCCCCGCTAAGTGACATTTACATCCATCAAAATGCTAATGCAAGTCGACTTTCTGACCTATGGCAGTTATACTGTATAGTGACATGGTCATTGGCATCAATAATTCGAGTTCATACCAATGCAACATCTATCTTGGTTTATTGGTTCGTTCTGCTTTCGATAAAACGTCCACTCGTCACCGAATTCTTAACAGGTCTGAGTTACATAAGCTCTATTTTGAATACCGTACCTTGAGATTATGTTATTTTTTTTATGCGATTTTTACATGAATGTGAGACTTGCTCGCGAATCATGAAGCAATGTTAGTTGCTTCACGACGGGTTGAGATACTGTACAGTATTTTGCAGGATCGACGAAAATATTTTTTGAACAACGTTGAAATTTCTTTGAAAAATCCTACTTTGCGAGGACCAACTGGAATTATAAAGAAATGCGCTTTCTCAATTCTTCCAAGGCAATTTATGAAAGCGCGGTAAAGTGATCAGGGAAGGGAGGAATTTCAAAATTCTTCTGAATTTCTTTACCTTCCGAAGTTGAGGAGAATGTACTAGGTATGTAAGTTGTAAGGGATAAAATGCTTTTCCACTCTAATGAGTTCAGTTTTTGAACCACCACATGAATCGCATTTTGGAGGAAAGTCCAAGACGTTAATTATTGAATCATGTGGTGAATTTTGCTGTTCATTTCATGCGTGAGATCAGCGATTCGAGTGACACCTGTCTTGAGTTCTGAGAAAGTGGGTCTGATGTCGAATTGTGAACGCAGATTTTCAACCTCGTTGGCGTTAATTGTTTCATTAATTTTTCTTCCCTGATCAACGTCAAACTTTTTGTCATGCCGAAAGGGATTTTGTCTCGCTTCAGTTTTCACTGGGAATTAAGGTGCATTGTAATCTTGAATCGTGGCTAAAACTTTTGTTCTGGAACTTTCCTCGTTAGAGAAAGTGAGAGGCGCATGATTTTATCAATTTTACTCGAAACAGCAAGAATAAAGACTTGCCACTCAAATCAGGAATTTTGCGCTTGCTTCGATTCTAATTTAGTTAAGGTTGTTGAAAGGAGTGTGAAATGGATTTCGTCACGTTTGTAAAATTACTTTTAACGTGATCTGAACTTCGTGTTGAGTTCAGTTAATCAGCTGGAATGTCGTACATACTGATTATTGTTCAGATCCCCTTGCAAAATCTTTTTCAATATTTTTAATTTCTGAAGATATTGAAAGATTTTTGAGCATGAAACTCCACTGAGACACAGAAAGCCGCAAAAGAATCCCCGTGAACACTGATGATTCATGTTCGAGCATAGTTCTTTTTATCCTTTCAGAAGATGTTGATTGACTCCATTTAAATTCCCGCAGTTTTTAACGGTTATAGTTACGATGGTCAGTTTATAATTTTTCAAGTTCGCCGATTACCCAGGGTTAAATTTCTGAGTGTGTGGGAAAGGATTTATCGGATGGAAACGCGAATGAATAAATCTACTTCTACATTTATGGCGGCGTTGAACATTAACTTGAGGCATTTTTCAAGCTATGCATACGTTGTGGAAATGTGGGAAGAGAATTTCTTCATTTCAATTTGACGAGGTGTTGGATGTTAATTTATTTGCTCCGCACTGGCAATTAAGCATCATCGCGATGACTCATCAAAAGTTCTTTTCTTTCTGTCACTTCGCTGTTAAAACTGCTTTAGTTTTGTGTATTGTAATTCAAATTGGAAGGTACAGTAATTGCAGAAGAAGCATTTCGACAAGAAACTTACTTGAACTAAGCCTATCATATCCCAGTCCACGCCGTGTTTGGTCATAAGCATGTCCACTGCAGTCATTGCCATTGAAGCTGCATCCTCCAGGTCACTAGGAAATGCTGAAAATTAAGGCAAGTTTTCACCTTTAATGAATCATCAATCAGCCTGCGGCCTCCTCTATGTTGTAACCTCAAATGCATCAGTTGACCATTGGTAGGAGTATCATACTGAATAGCTTTTCCAAGTGTTGTTCGGAGAGCTTTCGATATCAAATTCTATTTCGAAGTTATGTTGACAGTGAGATTAAGGATTTCTTCGTTTTCACAATTTTTTTTTCGGTGACATCGTGTTTCAATTGTCACGAAGGTTATAATTGTTTTCAGTTTGAAGAATTACCTTTGGTATTTTTGTATTTCATTTCATTTCGCACTTTCTCCAGTAAAAGGCCTGGTGGCCGGTTTTTTTTCAGTTTTAGGAACATTTTTTGACAAGAAAATCTCGGAGGTCTGCTGAAATTTTACAGATTCTCATGTTACGCGTAAATACTGTAAAGTACTTTGAAATGAGGCATGAGCAATTTTCGTTAAGATCTCCGAAGAGGATGTACATTTTTCGGACGCCCTCATATCACGAGTATATTCGAGATGAAGCTAGAACGCGAATTCGTGAAAATTTCAATTTGTGATTCATTTTCGAAGTTGGAAACATCGACGAGATCTAGGAACACCGTTTATCGAATTTCCGTTTAATCTAAGCACGGACAATACGTTATTAATTGTCGGATGTCTCAAGAAGTTGAAAAAAAAAATCGACGAAAGGGTGGTTCCTCTTGAAATGTTGTCTTGTTGCAGATAGACCTTTTTGCGAGAGTTGGTTCCTCCCGAACCAAGTCAAGTTGTTGAACCATTCTCACGTTTCTGTATTTTATCATGCTTTAAAACAGAGGTACAGTTCAGTTTTCGTGTGATGGATATCACGTCCATAGTGGCGTAAAAAGGTTCACTGTTCTGTCGAGACGAGAAATGATCACGCATTCGGTCATGTAATGTAGATGTCGCTGGCTCCTCCCATCAACCCGTTTCAGTACAGTAATTTTTCTCATTTATTTAAAATAATTCGGTCTAGGGCTATTTTTCAAGTCGGGAAAATAACGTGAGGTGCCTTCACCATGCTACCAGTGACACATGAGAACCCTAGGAAGAAAGCCATCTGACTCCGCAATATTAATTTAAATGGAACGTAGTCTGACGAGGTTACAAAGGAATTACTGTACCGATTTCCTCTTGGCCGAGGCCGTTTGTGTATTTGCCGCGAGCCTCGCCGTCGTAAATTTCAAGCTCCGCCTGGTCCACGTACAAGTTGGGCACGTACAACTCGACGGCGAGGATGCCGATGTCGGGTGGGCGACTGCGCGCCGTCGCAGTGCGGCGACTCGTCATCTTGTGGCTGCTCTCGCACCGCTCCAACGTGATGGTGCGGCGGCTGTTGTCGTCTTGATTCGACGCATTGCCGCCAGATTCGGGCGGACTGGCGCCCTCGCTCCGCTGCTGTTGCGCCGCCTCCGCATATCGCGAGCCCATTTTCTGGCGGCGACTGGCGGAGAGTCTGAAGTTGAATAGATGCGGCGGCAGTGGTGGTGGTGCCTCGGTCAAGAGAATTGGTCTGTTTTCGATGGGAAAGTCTGTAACTTTCCGAGAAGTCTGAAATGGTTAATGCAAAGCTTTATGGAATGGTCAATTCGTTCCAGGCCACAAAAAAACCCCTCTTACTTATTAAATACAGCGGCTAATCGATTCCTTGCTGCTGCGGTGTAATTTTCTTATGTTCTCGGTTTTTTCGTTGAACGTGGTTTTTTTTTATCGAGGAAGGGGAACACATTTTCTGGACTTCCTGCGTATGGATTTTGTCATAATACTGCGTATGGATTTTGTCCTTCTCCCGGAGAACACCATATTGACTAATAAATGCCGCATCATTATCCGAAGAATATCCGCAATACCCGAGTGAGGTCTACAATTAAATATTTAAAATGTTCGTAAATAGAAACTGCAACAAGCAAGTTATATGTTACTGTTTTACTTGGGGCTGTTCGATGAATCAAGGCGCAGACGTAAGTATTCGAACAGTTACGGATACAGTACTACTGTTTGGATAAAAACTACCCGAATTTATTGGAAACTATATGTCTTTTAGTGTATCGAATGTGTTTTTTTTTATTTTCGGAGTCCTCCCGACTTTTTTCACGTAGAGCTCAAAAAGGTCAAAAAAATTGTTCAACCGTACATGAAGAATATGAAGAAAACGCGGAAAATCGTATGTTGGCAGCGAGATTTAACATTTAAAAAAACTTGGGATCTTATAAGTTGAGATCATTTGTCTTCGAGGTATTCTGCGTTGAATTCAGCTATTGTAATACGATAACTACCTTAGCATTTGGCATAACAGATCAAAAAATCGAAATGGTAAGATTATTTGGGTCAAGTGTGTTGGAGCAGGTATTTCTGATTCTTTTTTAATTTCTCTAGACCGTTATTAGGTGTTTTTGTATTTTTGGGTGAGTGCTAGTAATGTACTATGTTCGAAATCTAGCCGATTTTTTATCTTTTATAATCCATGATCTTTCAGGTCTTTTAAATATTTTATTACTTCTCTGTCTCTGTGTATTTCTGTGGCGAATTCTGAGCCAGAAATCGATTTCTGCTGTAGTCTCGCGTCTCATTCTTTTTACCATTCACGGATTTCAACTTATTGTTGTAATGAAAATAAGGGTCCCTCGATGGGAAGTTCCCCTTTTATTCTGTAGATTTATATCAGTGGTTTTAAATGTCGCAAAAAACATCATACGATTCTGTTACAATTCTACATTATCTCGAATTTTTCAATTCAAGTTTCGCGGTGAGGAGCCCTTTCGAGGCAAACCAACTCCGACGTCAGCCAATATTGCTTCGATTTTTTTTTTCAGATTTGCATGATTTCCCCCTCCAGAATTATTCAATTTTGATCTACGAAGACGCGAATTTCATCGATATACTGAGACCGGGGAAAAGCTTTTTTTCTCGCTGTTCAGTAAATTTCTTTCGTATCGGGAAATAGATCATGGGAATACATGCACGGAGACAAATAAAGTATTATTCTTCTCACGGAAATTATGAGAAAGGTCGAGGCGGTGAATTTATCGTTGAAAGTTCTGTTTCGTGTTTTTCTTCCTCGTGAAAGTTTTTATATTATTTATGAATCGCTTTCGAACTTACGAAAGGATTTTCAGAATGAAGAACTGAGTTGTGCAATTCCCATGAAAATCAATCAGGAAAACGTTTGCATTCTGATAGAAGGCCATGAAAATTGTTGATGAATCATGAATTCGTAACGTGGCTGGTACCGCAAATACGATATTCGATTTAAATATATTTCAATTGTAGGATTCGTCGCCAATTGTTATTTCCCGAGTTCGTATCGTGTTCTCGTCACCTCGGATCTAGACTTTTCTTGTGAGTCGTGTCACATATCAGTCAATGCTTCAGTAGATATATTTTCGTTCAATTTTTCTTTATGCAGTTAGGAGTATAAGGCTTGTTTAATTTAATTCGCACCCTCTCAAACGCGTATTCCAAGCTTCTTTTTTTCGTGGCGGGGGTAAAAGATGAAAAAAAAAGAATGAAGTATGCGGGCAGTGGATAAGAGGAAGGAACTGCCTCGTCGACCATGCCACGAATACGATACTCGTTTCCGCCGCTTTCATTCTTTCTTTTTTCTTTTTGAACATCTGCGATTATTTGTGAAAATGCGGTGCCGAACGATAACTACTGAATGTGACCCCCGGACGTGTCTTTCTCTCTTTCTTGTCCGCAGGCAGGGACGCGACCCGAGCGTTCGTCACCGGCGACTTTTCGCCCGAAGGTTTGATCGATGACGTGGATGGCCTGTCTGATGCGGATCTCCGCGGACTCGACGAATGGTCCAAGTTCTACGATCGGGAATACAGCTATGTTGGTGAGCAAGCAGCAGCAGCGTAAACCTGTTTTCCCTGCTTGTTGCCCTGCCCTGCCCTGGCCCTGTCCCTTTTGTGGCCTGTCCTCGCCACACGGCGGCTGTGTTTCCCCCTCCCCCTCCTGTACCCACCGAAACCCTCGTTGCCCGAAAATAGGAAAATCAAAAATTTGTGAGAAAAATGTACCCTCGACTCGAGTAAGACGCGCACCGGGGTTTTTTCAGTTGAAAAAAAATGTGATTAATCCTATCCCCCAACAATGAGATGCGCACCCCACTTTCAGTGATTCTATAAAACCGCAATACAGTGAGACCCCCACATGCGGACACCTAGACATGGGGACAATTCGACATAGGGAAATTTATTTTCAACTAGAAAACTCATTAAAAAAAAAAAGCCCAACATATGGACACTGACTTGACATGAGGACATTGCAGGAAAATTGACTTTTATTAGGGTTGGTTCTTCCAATTAAGCCTAAGATCTATGCAAGAAAAATTCTTTGATATTTCTCCCATCATTTTCCCATCCATTCAGCTAATTTTAAAAATTACCTATAGCATAGAGGGACTTCCTTCTCTTTTTTTGACTTGGATTTTATTTTTACAGATGCCAACATTTCAATGAACTGTACAGCAGATTACTATTCAATGCTCCAAATGTTCTTATTAGGTTGAAAAGATATTCACTGAATCAAATTCAAATGACAAACAAAATTTTTTTCATGGAATAAGAAGAATATTTCTTCCATAAAACACAAATTAAAATTTATATAATGTAAGTCTATGTGAAAACAAGACTCAACTTGGGACAATTCAATGACACTCTTGATGCACCAATTATTTCCGCACCTGGGGGTCTCACTTATTTGAAAACTAATAACACCCGAATTTGAATTTAGACATGAATTGAACACGAATTAAGCTACATTAATTTTCTGGTAAACTTGGTCCAAAATCTTCCATTACAAGAAATTACCAAGCCAGAGTTCAAATATTTTTGGAAAATGCATACCCGCGTGTGACGCGCAACCCTTTTTTTTCTTTTAAATTCGAGAGAAAAATGTGCACGTGATACTGGAGTAAGTAGGGTACATACTGTACCGTGTACAGTGAGTCCCCGCATTATGAATGACTCGTGTAACGACAAATTCGCGTGACATTTTTTTTTAGACGAGAAGGAAGAGATCGTATTTTAAAAGTTTATCGCGTACGGTCATATACGCGAATATAAGCACCATCACATACATTATCTCCGATTTTAGAAGCTCAGAAACTAGGGGGTTGCTTATATTCGTATATTCAAGCAATTTGCGTAAATATGCCTTTTATAAGGAAATCTTGCTTTTGGTCCGCAAAACGCTCGAGTACTTCTTTTCTTTAGTTATAAGCTCCTGGAATGTCAGAAAACTAGGAAAGTAAGTGGGTGCTTGTGTATCCGCCCATTTAATGGCATTTTAATCGTCGGCATGAAAAATCCTGAGGGAGGGTGCTTCTAGTTGCGTAAATACGGTAACTAAATTTTTAAGACAAAAAGTGCTAGACTTTATTCATCGCCTTTATTGAGCATTTGATACTTCTTTTAGTCAAAATACTCATTTGATTTCAATGAATTTTTGGGGCATTTTTTCAATGAATTTTTGGGGCACATGCAGAAAAGCGTTTAAAATATTAGTTCCGCCAACTTGACAACTGGTCTACCTTTGGCAAGGGTGTCCCGGGAAATGGGGGTGATACGATTATTTGTGCTAATTCGTCCGTATGCGCGAACAAATTATATTAGCGCGGTTAGATGTCGCTTGAGTACATCTGCATAAGTGGATTGAGTCTACTTAATGGTTCCGAATCAAATACGGATTTCTTAGTGGAGACCTGTAAATAAATTTTGTATTGAACTGAAAACGCTCCCCTCTTTCGTGCAGACAGTTTCAAATCGATAAATTCATTGGCTCCGAAATCAAGTCCAAATAATCGGTCCTTCCTTTAACCTGTGAACATTGAAACGTGTTTCTCTTCGAAACCCGAGGGGGGGGGGGGTGTTGTTGGTTTTGATGAGAGTAAAGTGAGTGGAACTTCCCAGGAAATACTGTAGTTGGTTCATGAGCACCAGCTGCCGTGGGAAAACAGCTGCTCCATCCACAAGTGGGGGAAAAACGCACCCGATGAAAAACCCATAGAACAAGTTGGAGAAGGAAAAAAATGAACATACCCGCGACTGTTCAAAACTACGAAGTCGATGTGGAAGATAGGCAAATTCCTGACCATAACTTAAATTTAATTTTTCTTTTATATCCCTTGTAATTGGCGAGCTGAAATGGCAGGGGTTAAATTGAGGCGTGCAAATGAACATGAAGCGAAGTCCGGTGTTAATGTATGATCGACATTAATTTTATTCATTTTTAAATAAATTTTTACATTATTTATTCATTTATAAATAAATTCTTACATTTTTAACATTGATTTCTTCATTTTTTTTAAATATTAATTCATGCAGTTTTGACGTTTTGATTTTTCATCTCGAAAATCAATTCCGGGATTTGATCAGTTATATAATTATTTCGTACATTTTTAACGGAGCTTTTTCATGCATTGCACTAATGGAATGTGAACGTCTAAGAATACCGATGACGGATGCATTCCAAGATTTCTCGATACTCTCCTTGTATAAACTGAAGAAAAACAAATATTTGTCCTTCAAATGAAGTTTTTTGTTGTTGCTTTTGTGCATAATTAATATCCGCACGCTTCTCCAATCTTTCAGCTAAATTTTGGTATCACTCACTTCTGAGGGAACTTTTTCATTATTGCAGTTCCTTGTCCATTGGGAATGAATAATGTTAATGTGCTTCATTTTTATATTGTACAGTATTCAGATTACAGTGTAATCGCCGTATGAAGAAAGGTAGACAAGCTTCAATTTCCAACAATGCATGCTTAATCATTTCTTGATCATTGTTTCAAGTACTGTATTCACTTACGATATTTTCTATGTAGATAAAAGATCAGGTTGAAAGTTCACCCCGTCATTAGGAGGAAATTATATTTTCTCGCCGGATTTAATTCGTTTAAAATCGTTCGGAATACTGTACTACAGTGCTTATTTGCTGAGTATTTTGCATGGCCTGAAAATGATCTTATGACAATATTCCAGGTCTGAAAAACCTTATTTGAGAGGAAAAATTCGGATCTTGGTTCAACTTGCGATTCTTACGATTGGTTCAACTTACGAAAGTCGAGATAATGCTGAGTAGTAGAATTCTGGATAATTTCTCACGAGAGGAGAAAGGCAAGTTTAGAAGAAACGTATGACAATTGCTATACAGTAAATAGTGAAAAATGGCCGAGAAACTTGATATTAAAGTTAAATACGGAAAGCGCTGAAAGTAAACAACAAAAGCCTTTGTCCGAAATTTTCGCTGAGGGTTGAAACTAGTTTTATTCAAAGTGTTGGACACCGTCTTTTCCATGGTATTTTATGCTCTCAATTTTCTTATTAAATTTAAGCTAACGTAAGACATGAATGGAGTCGAAGTGAAAAAAAAAAAAAACTGCATGGAGTCTCGGAAAAACTTATCGATCAACCGGCGAATAAAAGAAAGTCGCAGTAAATTGATAAAGTCCCCTGAACTAAATATGTCGAGGATTTATCATGATTGTATCACCAATCTCCTCCTCGTAAAACCCTTGGTTTTCTCTCCCTCTCCCCCCCCCCTTTTTTTTGCAACCCGTCACGAGCTTGACCCATTCCAGTCTCACTGTAAAGTGTAATGACTGTTCAGATTTTCAACCTCAAATGGTTTCGACAAATGATGTTCGCTTTGCGTGCGGGTGAAATCCGAGAAGTTTTGTGCTACTCTCGCCCTACGATCCATATTGGGCCTCAGTCGAGAGAGGGGGGTCAACTCATCCTCTCGCCCCCGTGCCAGAAAACGGCCTTTTTCGCGAAATCACCCCTTCGCATGCGATGTCGCAAAAAGCCAGGAAGAATATCCGGTTGTGTTTGGAAAAATACGTGTCGGAATTTTTGAATATATCGATGGACCTATTCGTTTTGGTTAACGGATCGCATTTAATAATTCATGCGTTGGAATTTTTGATTTCTCTCATCCCGCATGACTTGTTTGATACGAATAAAATTCAATCTTCAGAAGACCGATAATAAATTATAGCGATAATTATTATTTCTTAAAGGAGCTACATAAACCGAATCTTTTCTTTTTTATCTTTTAGAACGAAGAAAATATTTTTCCGCTTTCAACAAATTAAAAAGCGAAAGGCGAATGAAAATTTATTTTTTCAACAAGGACGCGTGGAACTGAGACATGAAAGCGGAAATCGGATACTGCACTGTGCAGCATTTCTTGTTACCGTCCTGGCAAAGAAGCTGCAAAATTGTGTACTGTCCTTTTAAATGCTAATTATTTTGAAGCTCGCGGAATCGGGATAATTATTTATCAACTCCGTTTCAGATTTTGTTGGAAATAATGCACGAATTTCTTTTTTAGAGGTCAAGTGACAATATTTCGTGCCATGCAGGCTATACAAATGCAGAAAAAAAAACTAGTAACTTGGGTTAACAAAATTCCAATGAATTAGCATATATTTTTTAGTTTCGTAAATCGTAAGCTCCTCTGAAGTATTATCTTCTTTTCGATTCCATTAGCAGTAAAGCTGAAAATAATGTATCTTCAGTATGGTATTCGCGGGTAAATTTTCCGTGTATTCAATATTTCTGCGAGAAATCGTTATGGTATAACATGTTGACTCCAGTCATTGGAAATATATTTTCTTGAACCCGGGTAATGTTTTCAATGTGAAAATCGCGGGAGAAGAATCTTCCTGGTTCGATTGTTTGGTCGACACGCTTATCTTTTCAAATGATTCCCTCGTACAGCAGGGGAGGGTTCTTTTAATTCTTTAATTTTTGAAGTAAGTTAAAAGTTTTTTTTTTTTCTTTTTGAAAGAAACCCTCACTATTTTCCAGAGAAATGCGTTGAAATAGCTCGTGCGCTTTTGGTGGGTCACAGGGCAGAGGGTCGGAAGTGAGGAAAAAAGAAAAGCGTGCGTGTTTGGTGTTCAGGTCACCCCCAGCCTTTTCGCGGAGCAGAAGCGTATGCATTGCATCTCTGGACGCGATTAATCTCGTTTCGTTCCATTCCATTCCATTCCATCCCCCCCTTGGCCACGGAATGGCCGGGTGGGTTCCAGGTAGATCTCCCACCTACGGTTAGGGTGGTGGGGGTATTGATTACACGACTTTCGCGGGTTATAGTTGCTTTGGCCCCCTTCTGCGTCGGTTAGTCAGAAACGGGCCTGCGAAGCCCCGTCTGAGTGCGATTTGGCCTTTTTTTTTTCATCAATTTTTTTAAAACTTTGGCTCTTGTGGGGGGATCGCAGTGGTTTCTCGGTTAATGGGCATACAGTATCTTCCGAATGAATGGTATTTTTGCGGAGTTGTGTGAAATCTATAAGCAATAGCCAATTTGTTCCGAGGCCCACAAGAAAAATCCGGAGTGTTGAGGAGTGTTATGAAATTATTGAAGTGCAGAAGATCCCTTTTTAAAAAATCTTACAGCAGCTTAGCTACTCAGGAGAAAAAATAAGGAAAAATCTCAGAAGCGGTAATTAGAAAAATGAGAGAATACAATATTCTCCACATGCAAAAAGAAAAGAAAAATATTCACGCATAATATTTTACGTTCATAGCAAAAATGAGTGGAACAGGAACAGCGGTTGGAAAAAACCATTGTAGGAAGCATCTTATAACCTGTGTGCCACAGTCATTCTAAGAAAATGTCAGATGTACCTGATTTTATATCAAAGGTTTTTCCGGTGAACTCCGGTGTGGTCTGTATTTTAGAATACAATACTGGCAATTGCAGTCTCGTAAATATTTTAAATTTTATGAAATTATTCGAAGATCTTACCAGAAAAAATAGTGTGCCGTTGAAATTTACGTTTTCTTTTGAGAAATAGGAATTTTGGGGAGACTGAAGTTCTCGTTTTGCTTAAAATCACCCGCATAAATCAGGGGTTAAAAATAATTAATGCACTGTAGTTCTCAATCTTGCCACGTTCATGGTCAATATCTGATGCATATTTCGTCGACAAAAAAAGAACTTTCGGATTCATGTCGAATACTGCAAAAGTTCCTCGTATCGGAGTTTAAAATAAACTGATCCGATAAAATTTAATTTTTTACCGCCAAGAGCTTTTACAATTTTGTATTCTGAAAAATTAACGCCGAATGTTTTTCCCCTCCGCAGGGAAACTGAGTGGACGATATTACGATGCGAAAGGACGCCCGACAGCTTACCAGAAACAGTTCACAAAAAACCTGCGGAAGGCCTTTCAGTCCAAGGATGCCGAGGAAAGTTTGCGCAAAATATTCCCGCCATGCAATTCCGAATGGAAACAGGATTCCGGCGGCCGGGTTTGGTGTTCCGAAAGGAGGTGAGTAAAAGGGAAGAAAATATGGGATGCGTAAAAGTTGCGGGGGGAAGGCGAAAAAAATTATGTGCGTTGCGTGCGAGGTTTAATATATAATTCAAAAAATAACAGCGGCAGGGAATCAGCTCCGAATCCAGGCAGCGAGATTTTGCCCAGCACGTAACCAAGTGTGAAAATCGACCTTTATCAGGCTCCGATCTAATCCCAGCTTTCCTTCATTTTATATTTTTCCTCATGTGCAGTCGAAGCCAGGAATTCCATCAAGATCTGAATAATTCGTCCTTTTTCCCTCATTTCCTCCTCTTTTCACCCACACGCTGTTTTCCGCTCTTCCTCTCTCTCTCTCTTGAGGCCGTGCCTTCAGTTTGTTTCCACGGACGAGGGAAAGAGCAAATAAGGCTCACGAGTTTGCTTTTCAAATCTGAACAGGGGAGAAATGATAGCGCGGTTTTTTTTTTTTCCAGCACCGCAAGCATTTTTTCCAATTCTTTTTTCTGCGCTAACAGAGTCTTCGTTTCTTTGCAGCGGCGGTGTTGAGAGGAGTTGGGCCGGAGTGCCGAGGAAATTCTTTGAGCCGGGAACTGGGAAATTCCGGTGTGCTTGCGTGAAGAACTTCGGGGAGCCGCTGTTCGGCGGCGGTGGAGCTGATGACGTCGGCGATCTCAGCAATCCAAATTTGATGGAGTACGAAGGGTGTGCCAAGGACTCTGTGTCATGTCAGCTGCCTAAAAATTGATCCTCAGTGAGCTTATCTAATATCAATGATAAATACCTTGGCTTCGTGGTATTATTTTTGAATACAAAGGCGTGTTAAATGGCAAGTATGTAGCGAAGCGGAGGTTCTCACGAGTCGTTGTCGTCATTGATGCTCTCAACGGAGCCCCCTTCAGGATTTATTTCCCATGGAGAAGCTCCCGTAGGACTGAAGGATTTCTAAAATTCGATTCATGTAGCTCAGAAAAATCGTAAGTTCATATCTCCTACTAAGTGTCAGCCTACAATTGGGAGTTACAAATCTCCGAATTTTCTTGATTTCTGAATGGATAGGCCGAGTGGTGCACAAGTTGAGAGCCTATGTTTTATATAAATCTGTACTCAACTGCCTTCGAAAGGATTTTGTTCATTCATGGAAGCCATACGTATTCTGTACCCGAAGGGTTGTCTTGCTCATCCGTTCCATTCTCTCGTGAGAAAAGCTTGAAGTGCATGACGCACAAGTTGATGTGTGGATTTTTTTTCAAGTGAACGAAGAGCTCATATTTGATATCCTGTGCCAAATGTTGAAACGATGCATTCCTGTTGTTTGTTTTTTGCCTGGATTGTGGGATTTGTTATGGGAGCTCCTAAGCGACCGTTTGCCAGCGCGAAGTTGGTCTGATGAATGCAGTTCGCGTATGATTGGAAAAGGAAATGTTCGTTCATCAGTGATGCATAGGTTAGACTTGGATAATGACTAAACACTTTTGAATTCCGTATTTCTGTTGCAGAAATATTTGAGACATTTTGATCGCGTTATTGTGAAAAATATCGTATCGGCGGGTGTGCTATGTTGGGAAAATGAATTGACTGTCATCCTTGGCACTGGAAGAATTCACAGGCGAAATGAGTTGCGCTGTGAATTCCCTAGTGCCAACTAAGACGGCAATTCTGGCTTCTCCCAACTGAAAATCTCCCCGGTTTGAAGCGTGATTTCGGGTGAAGTGTGAATTTCTTTAATAAAAGCATATTTTGTATCTTCCGCGCCCAGCTTATTTTTTTCCGTACTCATACTTTTAGACCGCGAGCTAGTTTTATCAATATGACTAGGACAGGTTCTATCGACGAAGACTTCTGCTTCGCGCGACATGTCGATTCAGAAATCCCTGTATACCTGCTCCTACGCCCAGACCTAGCTTATGAACAATTCTAAACCCCAATGATTCGAAATACTGTATTCCAATTTTAAAATCGTTTTATCTTGCATCATTTCGCTGCAGACATTACAATGATGTGCATCGCGAGTCAGTCAGATTTTGAGTCACAACAACCGTCGCACACAGCTTCAAACATTTAAGCAGTTCATAATCGCATCGTTTCGAACTTAATATTGGATAGCACTGGTTTCTGAGATCAGCTACTTTCGCTTTAAGATGAAATGCGCTTCAGAGCTCAGTAGCAAACACAATTTTTACTTTAGTCACCGGTTTAGTTGATTACTGATCACTTCCCTTGAGACAAATAATTCCGTAAGCGCTTTATCACGGCTCCAGGTCTTCCTTTGCAATACGTTTCAGCCTCTGGAAAAGAAAATGAATGAAAGAATAAGTAGCATTAAGCACTTCCGAAATAGTTTATCCGAAATTTCATGAAAGAAGGTCCTAATTCAGGTGAAACCAACACGGGTTTGAATGCAGTGATATTTTCCTTACAACGAAAGATGAGTTCATCTCTCTTGGAATCAGGTAACTTTGTTTTTAAAGATTGCTGTGCACACAGTATCTGTTCAAAACAGAGTCTACTGGCATTTGCCACGGGACTTCAACATTTTTCCAATGCAATAATGTAACAAAGTGAAATGAACTAGAGAATTGGTTCAGATTCGACAAAGCTATGTCTACGTTATCACTTTGATTCTCCGAACCGAAGTCAACGTCTCCGAAAATTTAAAAATGTAAGTCTGACGGAGGAACTTGAATCGTGACAGTAGCAATTTAAACAAGTTGAGGTAAATTTGACAGCTTACCACATTCCACAAAAATCTTCCGATAACTTTGGTAATAAGAGCAGCGAAAATATTAGAAGATGCTCATACGTTTACAGCAAGTCAGCCAGGACAGGATAAGTATTTTCGGTAAGAAGCACGTGTAAATAGAAAGAAAAAAAAAAAGTCGCGGAGAGAATTAAAAAAACAAGATTCAAACATCCATCAGAAAGCAATGAATCTTGCTTCCATACTACACCTTGAAGGATTGGCGAGGAATCAGCTATAGTCCTTCCTTCCGTTTTCCATCGCCAGTAGATGTGGAAAAGAACAGACGCATACAATTCGTTGACTACGCCGATCACAGATCCCTTTTCGTTGCACAATCTGCAATTAGAGGGGAAAACGTGTCGTCTACAGTTGCGTCACATGGGCAAGTAGATTCGAAATTAATTTAAATCCACCGAATCCGGCCTAAAACTATTCCTAGCCCTTGAAAAGTTTCCAAGAACGGGTCATTATTGAGACTACTGCATCTCCATCTCACTCAATTAGCTCGCAAATATGGAGTTTGCCAGAAAAGCTTTCGAAGACAATAACCAAAAATATTCCGCAAATAAAATGGAAAAATTATACTCACTGATTGACTAGCCCCTCTTTGAGTGCTATCAAAGCAATCCGCGTGACATTAATACACAGCACCATGAAAGGGAAATTTTGTTTTGAGTCATTCGATAGCCTATGAACATCTTGTGCTAATTTCAGCATCTTCGGCTCGGAGGCCACTAGATAAACCGCATTGACTAGAGATAAAAATCCAACGCCTCGCAAGTCAGTTGCTGGATCAGTTCCTTGAAATCCGATGTCTTCCCAATGCGACCCAAAACGAGGAGGATCAACAAGACCACCGACCAATCGCTTGTAAATGGTTTTCAGTGCCCGTACGTGAAACTCATTCTCATTTTCGAATTGACCTGTGGAGAAAAATCATAGATTTGAGCAAGAAAGTTCAGTGATTTGAACAGCAGATTAAGAAAAAAGAACGAGGTGCTGTACTGCTGTAGTTCAAAACTGTGGTACACGCATCATAAAAAATTGAGTCCCATAATTGATCCTCTGATCTTCTTTCGTTTCCGCGATTATCCTGGTGTTATGAAGACCCAGATAATAAATGCATAGCATGATGCATTTTTCACTTTCAAAACCATCATCAGAATCATATGAACCTTCACGAAGAGGAATCGACTTGATGGAATCAGTGGGTCACGATTTACGAAGATTCGAAATCTTTTAAATAAAAAAAAAAAATTAGTCGTACTCCCTCCATGTACAGTACTGTAAAACATCTCAGATTTGAAAATATAAAGGTAAAGAGAAGTTAGACGAAAAAAAACTCCGACATACAGTATTCAGAATGAGTAAACGGAACTTACAACCGGCTAAAGCGCACACCAGGTCCTTTTCTTTTACTAGATCGTCTCGCAGGGGAGGAGTTGGCCACAACTTACGCATCCACGCACAGGGGAAACAGATTTTCCTGACGCCTACCGCTGCATTGCGCACATTTGACTCAGTGTGCCAGCCCTCCTGCAAATACGAGAATGAATGAAACTCCCCACGGTAGTGCAAGAAAAAAGTACAACATTTGAGTCAATTTCAACGTCAAACCTGGCTTCCTGGAAAGTTCGAAAGGTGTCACTTCTAATCGCTAGCTTGACCAGGCGTGACCATGTTTACATCAAAAGCCAAAAATTCCGACTCGCTCACATACTGTATTTCACGCTTTCGAACAAAAACTAGGCAACTCATTTGAGCAAATGGAATCTTGTAATCAAGAATTTCGGAAATTTAAATCTAGATAAACAAGAGTCTTCGAAGCCAATTAAAATTCTTCTCAAAATCAGATTGACGGTATCCACGTAAATAGGTTTCAATTTTAAAATATTCTTGAAAAAAAAAATTAACCCATCTACCGACGGTTTTAACGTAAAATACAAAAATGTCTCACAGGAACTCCATGCAGATTACACCCTTCAACGTGACGCCACAGTTCATCAAAAGTCAGCAAGGTGGTTCCGGATTGACGAGAAGTATCCTCCGAAATAACCGCATCTTTGATTTTGCGAGCGACATTGACTTCAAGCGTTTGCACATTTTCCCATTCGTCCTTGGCATTTTCGAACGCCTCTTTTCTACAGCAAAGATAAAAATCGTCAACCCTTGAGCATACACCGAATCAAAGTCAATCGACTTACTCCTTTCCAGTATCCCCGTCTTCGGGCATCTCTAACCAACTGAATCAAAGAAGTAAAGTAAATCAGGTAGCATCACATGCCTGGAAAAACAATAACGCCGGAGTTACCATAAATTACGTTAGTGCACGTTTGAAAAAGACAAAATGTAAAACAGTCATTCGCTGGCAACCGGAAATCTGCACCGTATTCCATTTATATAATTTCCATATAAATTCGTCTCTCCAGGGTTTTCTCATTTCCACATCCAAAAACAAAAAACCTCCCACCAAATGGCGGACATTCAACGACACAAAAACGAAGATAACGATTTTTCTTTCCGTTAGTTTCTCTGTAGCAAGCGGGCAATCCAGCAGTCAAGAAAATCGTTCATCATTGGGAACGGTTCAATAATTAACGAAAAAAAAACAATGCAATAAAACCAAACACGACTTGGCAACCCGCTTTCCACGTGGGTCCGACACGACATTTTTTTTAAAACGAAGGCATAATCTGCTGGGGGAACAAAAACCAAGCATCGTCCCACAAGTCAAGAAATGAGAGTTCGTTGTAAATGTAGCTGAAAATTATTCTTGTTCGTTATAAAAGTTGCTTTCTTTGTACGACTAAGCTTCAAATCCGCGGAACAAAATCAAACCGAACAATGGTCGAAATTCGTCATTATAACGTACGAGGACTGCATCACAAGGAACACCTTTAAAATGTTCACGGGCATCCCAAACAAGTTGAAGATTCGAGTCTCAGACTTCAACTTCCATGGAAGTGCGCGAACAAGTTACCGTACGTTCACAAACTCTAATCCGAAAGTCAGTAAAACTTCTGACATAATCCTCGTAGGTCAAAAATAAATAAAAGGTTCAACAAGATCGGCGGCGAACGGATGCACATCAGCGCATTCAACTTTGGTTTCTCATCGACTATGAAAAAAAAAAAACCAAAAAGGCAACAACCGAATCTCTCCGCCTTCCGTGAGACTTCTTACTTTTCATTAACCACTCTTCTAGTTTTACTTCGTTCCAGACAATTGCTCTCTCTCAGCAACATTTTTGATCTGCCAGACGACTCGAAGTGTTCCTCAATTTAAATTCGTAGCACTATTCCATAGAGCTGAACCATGGAACGAGGGAAAACTTTCTCGGGCGGCATATTCAACTCTTCGACGCAACATAAATTCTACCAATTAACCGGCTGTTGACTAGCACAATCCAACATATTCCTACCGAGGAAAAAATAAAATTAACAGGGAAAGGGGAATGTGAAGGTGTCGAACAACTACAGGGAACCGGTCTGGAAACAGAAGGACGAGTCGCCATCCGCATCGGCCGACCTGACCTCGAAGAACACACTGAGCACTTGACACGACGACATTGGGGACGCCGGCTGCGAGGAAGATGACACTGAAGAACACGACGAGCTGTCATCATCGGCCATTTTGTTGCCATCGCAGGCGTCAGTCATCGCTGGCGGACTGAGCCGTTTGCTGCGCTTCCGCGGCATCGCCGTAGGAAGCCCGGGAACAACCAATAATTCTTCCAGATCGCATTCGCGGCTCGGACCGAGAACGATTTCCAACTGTACCGACGCTGCGAGATCCTCTTCTGTCCAAAACGGTTTTGATTCCGAGGAAGAAGTTTTTGTAGCTGAGGTAACTGACGTGGAACTGGGTTTCGGAGGCAAGGTGGTGGGGGTAACTGATTCCGCGGAGGAGCAAAGCCGCGCAGACAATGGTTCGGAGGTTGACGGATTCAAGGCAAAGTTGGCTGAGGCGAGGCGCGATGCGATCCAGGAAGGCAAGTCCCCAACTAATCCATGCGAATTTTGTAGAGCTGAACGTTTTGCTGACATTCGGGAAAGAACGTGTCCAAGAATGCGGACCGCCTCATCACACCTAGCATCCAAAAACAGCATTTTGGTATATATAAAAAAAATAAAAAAAAACGATTAGCAAGGAACAATCGCGGGTTTACCTACGGAACATGAATCTTATTTTACACAATTCCGTTTTTAGTGGATTGATATCGCTTGAAGAACAATTCATTACGTCAAAGCACGTCATTTCAGGTTCGTTCTCAACTGGTCAAATTCTTACAAGTAACCCTCGCATGAGCATTGCGGGAGTATCAACAACAGGAGGGTTTTTATACACGAAGGCGTGGACTCTCTACAACGAAATCCAAAGGACCAGAAATAATTCGTTGTAGCTAGAATTTCATTGTGGATTTTGTTTTAAAAGGAACCATCTAACACAGGGAGAGAGCCGGTCGGGATTTAAAAAAAAATCGTTTTAGAGAGAAATCGTCGCAGACAAGATGATTGTGGAGACAGTCCACCTGCAATTCATTTTCAAAATTTGAAATCTCATTCTATCATTGCACACTTGACCACTTCGTTTCACTCGCGGGTAAGTTATTTGTATTTCTTTATTATTTTCAAGATTCATTCATGAAGAGTTCTTTTTCGTATCGTCAACATGTTTCGACAGCGGATCGAATAGCATGTTCCGCCGAAATGCGTCATCACACCAAGGTAAATCATCAGAGACGATTACACTTCTTTTCGCATTAGTTCACCTTTTCTTGAGCAAGCCAACATCGTCCTCGTCGCCATTTCCAGATTTATTCAACTCCTCCGCCGAAGACACCGGCTCGGATTCCAAGTCCCCGCGAGACGGTGACTGGCCCTGGTTACTGGAATTAGTCCCGGAATTCTCATCGGAATCGTAGCCCGACTCCACGCTGTTGCAGTTCTCACGGGCTTGATTCGCCGGAGCGGGCACAATGGCGGGCAGACGAGGAGCGACATCTAACACGGGTACGGCGAGTTTCTCGACACGGACACTGCAGGCAGTCGTGGCCTTTTGTGCCACGATGTCGTCGCCTCCGGATTTGCGACGCTTCAATGGCGAACATTTCTGAATCTTGAATGCACGGGTGGTGCCGCCGGCGACGGAAGCGCTACGTTTACGCGGCTTCCTGAGATCTGCCTGAGTCGAACGCTGGCGCCGCGAACCCCGGAGGCATTCCAAGGCTTCGTGCATTTTCATTCCGCAGTTCGTTCGCAAATTCATTTTCTCGGGCTCCGTTCTTCCCAACTCCAACGACCGGAGATCCTCGTGGCAGTTCAACTCATCTGCAAAAACAAAAACAATTTTGATCACGATACATCGAAGGTCACCCCAGCAACGAATCGTAATCGTTCGCTCGAATAAATTCATATAACTGCAGTTGATGCGTTTCGAGTAACTATTACGAGACACAAATAAAAATTGAGCAAATTACACTAATACATTCGCAAGAAAAAAAGCAATTATCAGGTGCAGTAGCAGAGAAAAAGAATCCGCAGCGGTAAGAGAAAGACAAAACCCAGTCAAGATGGAATTTAATAGAGCAAAATATTCCTGATACAAAAGGCTATTCGGGCAGGGCAAGCGTAATGCAATACAGTACAACGAAAATGGCCTTCAAATTAGACGGGACGAAAAAAACTTTCAAAATGAAAGCTTAATTTCGAAAAGCATGCAGCTTAAAAAATCAACGTTGTTCAATATCAGTCATCAAAAAAAAATTTAGCGACTTTAAACGATGACATATTATCGATCCGTTTGAGCTCGAAGAAATTGCCAGCGACACATGATTTATACCTTGGATACAGAAGAAATGACTGAAATAAGAAAAACTCAGAAAAAAGTACTGAATTTTCAGCGGAACATGGAAAATAATTTTCGAGGCGGATAGGAAAGCGTGTGGCATGGTCACAAGACGTGAAAAAATCAGTCTTCACCTTTCCAGTATTCAACAGCCGTTCCGTTTAAACATCAAAAATGATTGAGATGATTGAATAAAATGTTCAACCTGGAATAAACCAAAAACAAGTCATAACCACCGATCAAATGAAGAAATAAATTACCGGCGAGAACTGGAGTGACGATTTCTCCGAAAACATTACGTTTCTCCCAGTTCTCACGGACGGTAAAACTGGTATTCAAACACGAATAGAAGAAGAGAATGAAGAACCAAACAGGAAAGATGTAAACAAGAGGATTACTGACATTTAAAAAATCAATCCATAGACTGGCTCCGGTCTGTAACAATGCACAAAAAATATAAGCGTCCGTGAGTACATTTTTTATTTTCTTTCAAAAATGTCGGATTTGACCACCTGAGGAGGAAATTGAAAAAATCCTCGATCAGGAAAATACGCCTGAGTATCTTCCTCGTCCAAACTGACGGATTTCTGCGCGAAGTGCAAATCACATTATGTGATAGGATCTCCCGGAGAATAATTCGCGTAAGCAAAAAACCTACGAATATGGTACTTGTGAGTTTTGTAAATTTTCTCGGGATAAAGATTTTTTTGACTACACCATCCGAATACTTTGATTAGTGTAATGTAATAGGAAGAACATTCATTTTGAAAATTCCGGGCAGTACCAGCTCCAGCTGAACAGCGATTGAAGCCAAGCTAAACAAGGCTACCTGCGATATCTTGATACAAAACTTCAAAGACTTATAGTATTGAAAACTATTTTGAGGAAAACCGAATAAAAAATGAGGTGAAATAGATAAAATACCTAAAATTTAGCGAACTTGAGATCCTCTCCAAAAGGATTGATTCAATAGCAGTGATGTACACACTAAAGCTTCCATTTCTTCCAGACATAACTAAAATCACTAAAATTTCATATCTCACCAAACCGTTTACCTTGGATAAAGGAGTAACCATTTTTGTTTCGATTATTGATTATTGTACTTTCAATAACGTAGGAAAACACTTCAGCGGCAAAATCAAAGATTTTTAACACCGAACTGAAAGTGGGTAAAACATGCGAACATAAACAGAGCCAAAAATGTTCAAGAACTAACTCTTCGTTCATCATAGCGAAGTTTCTCGTCAGTAGCTGCACTAAATTTCATGTTGATAAATTTAATCAACTATTGACACGTGGAGGACCTGTGTGGATTACTCAGATCCAAGAAAACTCAACGTTCGGGTACAAAACCGGGTCTTCGAATTTGACGAACATAATCCTATTCCGCATTCGAATTGATCACAAAAAACTCGAACTTCCGAACAAACACGTTCCTACTATGCAGCGATAACTCATTCACACGAACATGGGCCACACGTGTTTAAATGTTGTTTTCAGAGGTCTAGACTCAGGAAATTCGAACACAGATCTTCGAGATTACTCATTTACGAGAAAATTAACCCATAAAATCCGTTTCAACTGAAGTATTGTAGTTTTAAATACTAATCCTTCCTCATAGTCTTTCAACAGCCGATTATTCTCATCAGGTCTTAACCTTAAGGATAAGTCTGTTCAACGACACAATTTTTCATTCCAAAATATTTCACGCTTGCAAAGGCCACATTTCACTCAAATCTTCCTTTTCAAACGGCGAACAATGTTTTAACTTCAAATAAAATTGCGATCCTAAATCGGAGAGCCGCAGAATACTGTACCGTATGGTGTTTACTCGAGTACCACGAGCCCTCGAGCAAGACTCGCACCAGGGTTTCTAAGTTAATTTTAGAAATAAATTAAATTCTTCCGAGTAAGATGCCCACCCCACTTTTAGTAAATCTAAAACTGCAATACAGTATTTCAAAAACAAGACAACTTATAATCGAATTTAAACACGAACTGAACCTGAATTCAACTAATTTTCAATTATTTCCATTAAAATACTGTACGTCCTTACTGTGAAAATTGGTCCAAAATTTCCCGTTAGAATCAAAGATAATGCACACCTAAACTTCTAAAACTTCTCAAAACCCACCTATGACGCAGATCCCATTTTTTCCTCTCAATTGTGGGAGTGTAAGTTGCGTGTGGTACTCGAGTAAAAAAGTTACTCGCACAAATAAAGTAATCGTCAGCTCTTCCTCAGTCTACCGGGATACGAAGTTCGCACGATGGAACCACAACAAACGACAGCACTGCGAGACACACTTTCTCCAAAGCGAACCATCGAACAGGCTGAACGTGACCCAATATCAGCCACGCGACTGCTTCTACCCTCCCTAGTTCCCGTCGACGTAGATCGAATAGTTACGTAGGCCGGCGAGGGACCCAAAACGCGACGCGCCGTGGGGGGAGAGTTTGCCGGCCGACAGCGGGAAGCGCATCAGGGAGACCGACAGCGATGCATGAAAGAGATGGTGACAGGGAACAACCAAAAAATGGACGCAGGATTGGTAGGCGAAAGAAGGATGGATGAAAAAATCAAGTAAGCAACGAGAGAGAGAGGGGGAGGAGCGGTAGTCCACGATAGCAAAATACCGTATTCCCCATCGGTGAAGAACTCACATCCACCATGAACTCGTCGCAGTTTCGTACACAGCGTTGATGAAAAAGCACTGCTGTACTTCGCTGCTGCCGTTTTTACTTTTTAGATAAATTTACTACTTCTTTACCATTAGCCAACAAAGCATTTCTTCAAAATTTACACGTAGTAGGAAAGTTCCAAGTTAGGGAAGCAGTCCGGATCATGTAAAGTCAATACTGTACCGTGTACAAGAGACGGTTCGAAAGTAGTCTATACAGAATCTTGACAGAAAGTTCATCGAGTGCTCAGGGTTCCCAGTCATAATCCCCCAAGAGTATACGACTGTGGGTACTTGGGTACGACTTAAAAGGTAATTCAATATCCGGTAGCACTAGAGACTGTCAGCAGATTCATTACATACAATTGCGCCCAGTAGTAAACCTTACTTCCTCGTGCTGACGTGATACATTTTTAGCTGTTCTGTCTTCTTTCATTTCTGATCAAAGCGAAAAAACTTGTGAACAGCGTTCAGGCCATCATCAATGTTTAAAAATTACGTTTATCTCCATCCATCTTCACAAGACTGACTACACCTGTGAATTAACCCTCGAAACTTAAAATCATAGCGGAGCAATTTATTCGATTGGAATAGTCGGTCATTCCAGTCTTCAATGAGATGAGACGCAATGCAGTAGAAAGGGCCAGACGATCTTCAAGCATTTGAAAACTGCTTCTCTGATAACTGATTCTCTGATAACTGAATTTTCCAGAATAACCGATTAAAATTTTTCTTACGGGAACTTAGACTTCCATATCTGATGAAAACTGAGTCCTCGTTTCTGGGAATTTTTCCCTATCAACCCCACCGAAAATCCACGTGATCCACCCCATTCAGGACGAGTCGTCTTTTCAAGTTACGATGCACTCGAGGAAGGAAATAGAACGGCGGAATGCAAAAGAAGAGTGTCCCGTGATTTCGCAAGATCGCAGCACTTAAATGTCAACATGAAAGAACTTAGCAACGTGGCCTTACAAGTACAACGTCATATAAGCCATGACACATATTTTTTCATGTATTCTGGGGTATAAATACGCATTACACAAGGAAGTCTACCAACGAATTAAAATTGATGAGCGTCTTGCAGCGAAACCGTCGCGCGAAAAACGGTTGATCTGATTTCACCTCAGGTAAAGCACAGTACTGTAATACATTGCGATGATTCTGACGCAAAACTTGAAGCGCACAAAACGAACCACTCGAAAACTTGAACGAAAACTGTTAAAACTATTTTCCTAATACAGTATCTTCAAATCCCAGCTTCTTCGTTCCAAGACGAAGAAGTATATATTATTCATGCCAATGAGCTACGATTACACGTTTCATGTTTAAGTACAGTAATCAATTTTTTTCTGATATAACAGTTCGCGAAAATGTATTCTACGATGAGATAATACAGATCTGTAATACAGTAGTAACAACATTCAAGCTTGATCTAAAGTTAATTTTGCCTGAATAATTACGCCATATAATTAGCTCAATTTTCGAGTTTACAGGCCACTCCGTTTCCTCTCGATGAAACGAAATTTGAACAGGGTTCATCGTGAGTCAGATTAATCAAAACCCGTGTAGTATAACAGAAGTTCCGTTTCATCCTTATTTCTCTTTTCTTTAGTATAAACGCATACGGGAAAACGTTTACATCGTTCAGATTCACAGGAACGTCGAAAAAATTGACCGGGTTTGCCGCTTCTCGTTCATTAAACACGTATAACTACTGAACCGGGAAAATCAAGAAAAAAATGCATACACCTCTCTGCCAAGGAACAACAGAATTGATGCAAAAAAAATATTAAAAACACAGGTCTACAAGTACTCAAAATGAATTTCGTGAACTACATTACTATACTCACCATCAAGGGTAACGCCATCAACGGACCGTTTGCCGAGGGCCCCAAGTTCCACAGCTGTCCTTGTTGAAGATAACTTGTCTTCGGTCGCAAATGAGCACCCAAAGCCCCAGAATACAGATTCAACGACCGCTGCCGTCGATTCTGGATCAGGGATATTGACAGGCGAACTCCTCCCGAAAACTCGCTCATATTTGGTCGGAGTCAAGGCCCAGGCATTAACTTTCTTCACGCCATTTATCGCCAAACTCACTCGCGTTTCCTCAACTTCAGATGACGCGCATTTCTTCACCTCGCCTTCGGTTTCCAGTTTCACGTCTGCCGGCAGTTCCGACCCGCTTTCCGAACGATGATCGAGTTCGGTACTCAACTGTTCATTATACGCCTCAGAGACTTCCAAATCACACAATTCTACGTTCGCGTCACCTTCATTTCCAGCCAGCTCTACTTTGAAATCCTCATCATTGATTTCTGGCGCATTTTCTGGAGACGACAGATTGATATCGTGATCGTCGGAATCACCGACGGATGAACATAGCAAGTCGGTGCCAACGCCGTCGAATTCTTGCTGATTGACGACGAGTTCAATTGTATCAGCGATTGCGTCCACTGTTGATGTTGCAGTTGATGTCTGCAGTCCATTCGCTGGACACGGTTCGTCTTCTAAATTCTCATCCTGACAGTTCTCATGAGAGATTGTCGCATTTGCCTCCTCACGCAAAACTTCAACAGGAACGGGCGTTACAACACTCCGAGTAGTTCCAGGATTTTCATTCAAATCACCCGAAAGGTCCATTTCCGGAAGCTGACTCTCAATATCCGCGGGTGAATCAAAGAATTCGGGTTGTTTGTCCAACGCTTCTGACATGACTTGACGCAAGAATTCTGCCTGGAACGTATTGACTCCAACTGTGTCCGCAACAACTTCGGTACTCATTGGAACACTCTGGAGCACATCTGCATTTTCGGAAATCCCGCCAACAGTCTGAATAATCCATGATTGCGGCTCATTCTCCCCGGTTCCTGTGATATCATCGTGCTCGAGAATACCTTCCAAGGCTTGAAGGATCAAATCACTACCACCGGGTTCTTCGAGATCATCCATGTCCTCATCCTCCTCGTCCATCTCTTCGTCTTCGTCGGATGAGCACGGGGTAGGTGATCGGAAAATGAATCGATCGACTTCAAAACGATAATCCAATTCTTCGTCTTCGACTCCGTGAGGTGACATCGGAAGGTCTTCAACGCATCGAAGAAACTGTGCAGTATTCGGTGACGCGGGATTCGCATCCTCATCAGGAAAGTCTACAACAGGAGTTGAATGCTCCGTCCAAGATTCAGCAACCGTTTCAGCAATCTGAGTATCTTCGGGTTGTTGGATGATAAGTTGGTGCACACCAGATGCGTCTTGGACCAACGTCAACACAACCCCAGCGCCAAAGGAGCAAGGGTCAAACTCGATCTTCGAACGACATGGCTCAACTTGTGGCACTTTTGGACATTCGACAGGCAAGTCTTCCAAAGTTTCTTCTAACATGAGCTCTTCACGAACAGCTTGCAAGGGTTGCAGCGTTTCGAATTCGCATTCCGTCTCGGGTTTCAAGTCTTCCACGGTTTCAGGCTCTTTAACGAATGTAGGCTCGATGAAACACAACGATGTTTGACTTTCAAATGACGACGAGTAATCATCACTGACAATTTTAACTGGTTCCAACGCCGGCAGACATGTGAAGTCA